TACACGTCCTCATGAATTTCGCCCAAAATGTAAAGATCGCATATTTCGTCGAAATTCCTCCGTGAGCGCTTGTATTAGGTCATTCGGAAAGTTTTTTCGTTTTTGCACCTCCAAATTCAAACGAGCACAATTTTTCCCTGATTCAGCCTTTTTCCATCAAATAAACTGCATTGTGTTCAGCAAATTTCTGGTTACACTCTTATAGTGCTCTTGTGCTTTTCTCTTGCGGAATGATCTCAGAGGAATCACTAAAGCCTGAAACGGCGTTTTTGATTAGTCAATCTCTATTAGGTCCTATTATTTTTTAATAGCACCGAGGAATTGGAAAATTCGGTGACTGGTAAAGGAAGGTCTAAAGAGTTTGAAAAATAAACAGGAACCTCGGTGCGCAGTCAACCCCTTTTGTGAGAGCCACTTTTCTTACATGTGGTTTGGCGGAGTCATGAGCGTGGATGCCATCTCTCATAGCTTATACGTGCAAGTCTGCTCAGTTTTGAAATTTTGACAAACAGTCTTCAGAGCGACATCACACTACTCTGCTCTTACAGCACAATAGCATTTTAGCAAGTTTATAGCGTACAAGACCAGCAGGATTACATTAATTTGAGTGCACCAACCTTTTGGAATGACAGATTGTTCTGGTCATGCTTTCAATGCTTATTCCAAATGATTTACCACATTGTCGCTTCTCATTGCCACACTTAGTCAATTTTTTGCTGTAATTAATAACTCAGGCTGGAAAAGGATTGCTACATAAAATTATGAGCGATGAAAGCAGAGCCAACGCGCCCTCAAACTGCGATTGCGACAATTTGTGGGTACATGTCGCTGAAATTTTTCGGTATTGCAGCTTTAGCGAAGGTGGCTCCTAATAAGGTTATATGACACTTCAGGGCCTGCTGATAATTTTACGCAGCTATATTTGCGATTTAAAGGACCCTCTGAGATGCTCGTTTATATGGCAGAAACACCTTCCAAGACACTGCAAAATATTAGCTTTCACTTCTCTAGATCTGAACTTTCTGAAGTAAACTTGAATCTACCTCAAAAAAGACGTGGTCTTGGCAAATGCATTGCGCACAATGATGGTTTCCTCAACGGTCTTACGCTCAAATTTAAGCTTAGAGAATACAATTATTCGATAATCGCGTTTTCGTATGTCGAATTTAGAGCCGCGTAAACTTCCCTACAAAGCGTCTTCTGCAATTTCGGTGGGATCCCAGAAACTAGAAGACTTCCTCTACAGATCCATATATGGCAACCCTTAACAGCCCCCTGACACCCTCTTAAAATATGGTATCAACATCAAAGGAGCAAAAAGGAAAAAACTATCATGACCTAATACAATGCGCTGATCAAATCCTTCCATATTTTTAATGGATCTTATTGTGTTAGATTTGGTGCTTTGAGCTCTAGCCACGAAATAGCTTTGATATTCAGTGAGCAGCTGAAGCAGACGCAAGCACCATATTCAGTGCAGAGGGAGACGTTCAACGAAGCGAACATACAGTCTGCCCCAATCGGGATCAAGCCGAACCGTCGGCTGAATTTGCGCGCTCGCAGCGCTAGGAGATTGCGCTGCATATGCGCGCTGTCGCAGAGAGTGAACAGATCGAGGAGAGAGCAGACTAGCTAGCCGCAGATGTGGCGCGAAACCCTCGCGGCGCGGACTCCCGCCATGCCGATTTTGGCCTGTTTAGGATTGGGGCAGACTGTAATATCTGCAACGAGCGTCATACAAGCGCTCACGGAGAAATTTCGACGAAATATGCGATCTTTACATTTTGGGCGAAATTCATGAGGACGTGTATTTGTAGGCTCGTAACTCGGCGAATTTCACAGACTGGAGCCTGAGTAATACACCATTCGATAGCACACTTCCTAGTAACTTTGATTGAGAAAAGCAAGCAGGCAAGGTTTCTGACAGATACGCGAGAAGTGCGGCCAAAGTTACGTACTTTCGTGATGAAGTTACAGTCACAACACCGTATCTCTCCAAAAAGACCCTGTAATCCTCAAAGACCACGATTTTCGTAAAGAGCGTGTTCGAAAACCTCTATAAGCGAAGTTTCCTTACAATTCAAGAGCATCAACATTTTGACCAAAATCCATCGGCGCGCTTCCGGAGCGTAAAGCGAGAGAAAATGAAATGACCCGAACATATCGGAAAACTTGCTCGTAGAGGTTATGCGACCTGCTGATTTCGAAACTCACATCTGCTTAGCAAGATAGCTTCGTATCCTGCTGATATGGCGAGTAGAATTTGGGACGACAAGATTTTTCCACTATTCACCAGCCCTTCTATTTCCTTTGAAAAGAAACCTGCGACTACTATTTAGCACATCAAAATCTACAGAAAAAGTGCTATCGAAAGATCCTTGCTGAAATGTACTCGGGACAATGCTCGCTGCATTACACCTTCGCGAAAAGACGTCTTCAGAAAGATTCAAGAATACTGAAATCGAAATACCAAGGACATGCTGTACATAGGAAGATTCGACTTGATGAGCTGAGCAAGGCGCATTTTTCGGATTCAAAATATACTTATTCCGAAGGAAGTTATGGCGAGTAGAATTTAGAAACGCGTGATTTTTCCAAAATTCACCAACGCTTTCACCTCCTTTGGAAAGAAGTCTGAGCCTATTTTTTAGCGCACAATAATTTACAAGAACAGTATTATCGAATAGTACTTAGTAAAGTCTTCTATGTTGGGTAGGCGTTGCTTCACATATTCGCGAAAGGACCTCCGCAGAACAAATTGAAAAAACTGGAAACGGAATATCGAAAACATCGTACCCCCACTTCCAATACATCAGAAGATTCTCCGCGCCGAGCTGAATCGAACGGTGGCCTTGGATTCAGAATTCGTCCACTCTGAAGCGAGATATGGCCACGCGACGCTGATGTATGGACATGTCCATACATGTATGGACATGTACGGACATGTACGGACATGTCCATACATGTACGGACATGTCCATACATGTATGGACATGTCCGTACATGTCCATACATGTCCATACATTCGCGTCTTTTTTTCAAAAAATGTGAGCGGTATTGTACAACTTCTTGATCGTCAATCGTCAATTTTGCTTAGCTTTGAGTACCGTTTTATAGAACAGGCTTCAGTTTACATTTACAGTATGGGACGAATCGTTCATCGTTTTTCATTTCTGTAGGATTACGGTAGGGACTTCCACCATATAGCGACACTGCAAAAGGTCGTCAGAAAAAAGTTCAAAAAACTGTAGAAACTTGTGTATCAGTGTTCTCAGATATGCTGCTTATGTTAGACAACTTTACACGAGGCTCCGAAGCGTCCAAAATAATTAAGTCGATCCATAAGTTCGTAGCGTTTTCATTTTCGTCCTCGTTTTCTGGTGAAGCAGTTGGTTTACGGCGAATTATCTGGTATTAATTGAAAGAGCCAAGTTTTTTCTACAAAACCTGCTTGTTGTTTTTGAAGCAATCCTAATGATCTTTGGTTCATAATTTCTCAAAGCAAAGTTTTTTGAATGGCAGAAAATGGCCATTTCGGCATCTGCGCTTTTCGCATTTCGTCCATATCCCACAAATATTTCTCTGTATGTATAGCCGGAATAGCAAGTAGCAAGCAACGCTGATGTGCTGACACAATGGTGTCCAGCCAATATGCTAAGAACTATTTGAACGAAGTCTCAAAAGTTGCTGTCTTCGACTGCTGCAGCTTGAGTTTTACGCGTTGTTTCGTAACAGAATGTTCTCGTCCTGCTATCAAGCCTTGAGCGATGAACAGCTTTGTCTAGGTGGTGCAAAAGTTTGAATGCAACCGGTGCCCAGCAATTTTACGCTTTCCCGGAAAATTTTGGCTCAGAAAACTTCCTCATTCCGGCCAAATTCAAAATATCTACACATCCGTAAAAGCGCGCTCTATCATTCTCTGTAGCGACTTCCTTGACAAGAATTCTAGTGCTACGTGCACCATAGTCCGGTAAACAGTATTCTTCATCGCTCATAACAATTTCGAATAGAAATTTTCCTCTTGTAGTTTCCGTATATAGCGCCGAAGATGGAGATACCGAAAGCGTTATTTTTCGCTACACAAAAAACTCTGCTTTGAGCAATCACAAAACAAAGGTCATCAGATTTACTTTGAAATCAAAACGCAGTTCTTGTAGAGTAGAATTGGCTCTTTTGGAGGGTACACACAATTTGCGGTAAAACTACCGCTTCACCAGAAAACGATAACAAAAATAAAAACGCTACGAACTTATGGAACGACCTAAAATTTGATCACATTTTTAATAAACAGTGAAAATGACATTACGGTTTTACTAACTATAAAAAATTCTCACCATAAGACGCGAACTTCATATTCATATGAGCGGCTCAATTTAGCCTAATGATAAAGTATCAGCTTGTTGAGTAATCGTTTTCTAGCAAAATGTATTCATTAATGGCTCAAAACTCTTTTTTAAAGTTTCTACCGTAGTCCTACAATAACAGAGAACAAGTTTCTAACATCTATTCCGTGGCAGAATCAAGCCATTCGGTGTTTACGAACAGAGTTTTTCTGTACATACGCTCTGATGAGCCTCAATCGTAAGCACGATCTTATGACTACTGACTAATTGTGTGTGAAGTATACAAATGACACAAAACCTACAAGTTCGTTAGTTCTTCATTGGTATCCATGGCGACCGCGAACCGCCCACCGCATTGATCCGCATTAGAACCATTACATTGTGCTGGCAAACTTCTCCATATATACTTACAGTAGTACATATAAAGCCCTTTACTCTTCCAAAGATATCTCTCGTTGACACCTGATTAAACATGCTGATTTTTCTGAGGAAGATTCTCATTTTCTTCTGCAGCTTGTCACATTAGAATTTTCAGGTTTCAGGAATAATAATCCAAAATTTAATTTATATTTGTGTTTCAGTTACTTCATGTTCTGTTTTGTGCCATCAGTGTTACGCAAAAGAATTGCTCTTTGCTAGTTTTATCATAACTCAACAATGAATGGACTTAATGGCCAAAGGAGTGACGAGGAGTTGTAAGTTTTCGTGAAAAATTTTGTAGTTTTTTCCTCAGAATTCACTGTATAAATCATGAAACATATTTTTCGTTAGTTTTCTGCATAAAGATTCTTGGCCAGAAAAGATCCGAGCAAGAAGATAAATTCGCTTTTCCTTTGTTGCAGTTTTCGATTCGGCAAAATCTTTGGTCGAGAATTATTTACTGTACTTTGAACAAATAAAATCCATCTCAATATATTTGGCTATTACTCTAAGTTTGATTATCATTAATAAGCTCAGCTTTCAAATTGCTTTTAAAATCCTCAGATGATTTTCCACCTTTTGCTTATAGGGACCAAAATCGTTATTTGTGATTAAGTGCAAAACGTAATTTGCTCTTTTCTTTCGCAGTCACGCATTAGTTTTTACAGCGAGATTCCTGAACTTCCGTCTGGGAAGGTTCTTCGTCTAGAGCTGCTCTCAAATTGGGGAGACGACACCTATGTCGGACTAAATGCTGTTGAGATATTTGAAGAAAATGGAAAACGTCCTGAAGTGGCCAAGGTGCGCGAGTGCAATGCTTGCTCCCTTTTCTTCATGTTTTTGAAGAAGAAAGCAAAAAAATTTTTAGATCTCTTCAAATGCTCTGCGATCCGTGGGTAGTGTTGAGTCGATTTTCGTTGAATCTTTCACATGCACCGATCAGGGAAAGATGTGGAGAGCCGAACTTCAAGTCGACAGAACCGTTGTAATTGAGATCACCTTCACCGACGTGATACGATTAGCCATGATGCGTTTCTGGGTATGGACACTCTGCATTGTGCCGATTTTTGAAAAAAAAAGCCTTTGATTCCAGAACTACAGCGAGTCACGGGTGCATGCTCAAATGGGAGTGCGACATTTGAGGGCCGAGCTAGACGATGTCACCATTTTTGAAGGGGAAATCGACTGCGCATTTACGGATCATGACCACGAACCTATGGGAGAGGTGAGTGAGTAAATGATGAATTGCGAAGATACTTTTGCGAGACTTGCGACAGAATCAGATGGTGGATTGTTTTCGTACTGCTTTCCAAATTCTGGGCAAGCTTTTGCCTGAAACTTTGAAAAAGAAGATGGTAAAATACAACTAATTTGTTTCTTGCAAACCTGATTCGAATTAGCGCGTAATGATTTTTGCAAAAATTTTCCGAATTATTTACTATTGAAAAATCACCTGTACAATTTTATGTGTATAAGAAAATTACAACTAGTTCTTCTTATATATGTAAAATTGCACAGATGATTATTTTATTATTGATATGTTACGTCAGTATCCTTCATTGTGAGCATTACTGCTATTACTAATACGTTTCAAACTATTTATGATACGAAATTAGCTAAGCTTTGGTTCACCAAATCTATTGATAAAAATTCCTTTATAAAGAAGTTTTGCAAATCTTATCGAGCACCTTCAAAGTCGAGATAGAATGAGGACGATTTACGCTAGTAGTTAAAAATAATAATTTGCGAAACTATATAAAATTAGTCGCAGTGATTGCGACATGACTTCAATATTTCAGACAATCTTATTTACAACGGATGAAAGCATTTTGGAAGCAATCGCTGAGAACGACGTATGTCTTGTTGGCAATACGGTCAGCAATTCTTCTACAATGGATAATGCTGGTAAGTTGAAGTATAAGATTGTAGATACTACCTCAAAAGCTGTATGATAAGCTTATTCCTAAAGGCCTGATATCAAAGATCGATGTCCGTCCTCATTTGACTAGTTGTTATGTGTGTCACTATATCACTCTCAAACTCGAAAAATATTCAATAATCGGAACAAAATAAACTATTGGTGCTGTAACGCCATCAGTGTGTGTGTATGAGGAACAGTTGTGCAGTTGTACGATCATATTGAATAAAACTAACTGTATTTACATCCTTCTTGCATCTTCATGCTAACAACTATTAGGTTGGTGCAAAAGTAATGCGCGTTTTTCTAGCCCTTATTTCAATAAGCTTTTCTCCATCGAAGTTTCTCCTACGAAACTTACACAGCATACCTTGAAGAAGCTTCTTTCATGCTCTATTCAATGGTGGTTGAAAGAAGCTTCTAGCCTCAATCGTTAAAAATTTATAGAGCTTCATACAACCGCACTCGAAACCAAAATTTCACTGCACTTACTTTTTTGGCCAGAATTTGAGCGCGAAAAATCGCATTCTTCTGAAAATTTAACTACTGTATGCAGTAAAAATTTTCTACGTTATGCACACTTTGCTGTTTTCTCAGAAATTATTTAGACTGAGATTTCGGTGCCCCAACATGAGTGATGGTTTTGAACATTCTGTGGCCCATAGATTTCCTTTGAAGAAGGCAATCAGTTTTGCTCATTTTTGTAAGCGTAAGGGTGAACCTCCTGTTGACAGTTTTTGCAGAAACGTGGAAGCTGTTCAGTACACAGAAAATGAAAAATCTCCATATTTTGGGATTCTGAGGGCTACGAAAAAATGTCGAAAAAAGCGGACAATTTTAAATATTATTTTTTCCCTTTCTCAAATCTTCTTTGTTTGAGCCTCTTTCAACTTTTGTTTGTACTACTGGCTTGCGGCTACAGGACAGTCAACTTTTCATTTATACCAACAAATCTTGAAGGAAGTTATGATCAGTTAAAAACGAGGTTTCCGAAAAAAAATTTTTTGCTTATCAATCCATATTTTTTCACCGTTTTGCGTTGTTAGCACAAATTAATGCGCGCTGTATAGAGAGAGGTTTGGTGCCTTTGATGGATTTTGCCGCGCTGAAAAATATGGATTTTTTAGAAAGTTATAGCACTCGCAAAACGCGCATAACTTTTGCACCAACCTAATATTATGGCACCTTCTTCATTTCTTTATACCCACTGGCGCTTCGCTTGGTTTTGACTCAAACGCAAAATTAGCCTTTTGTTCAGGGTATCAAAATCTTGCAGAACTGGCATTGGGACTTACTCCTCATCGTCCCGTCACTCGAGAAGCAGCTCCGTTGTTAAGGCCAGAAGCAGAGAGACCTGTCAGCGCAGCCACACCCGACGTGGATGACGAGGAATGTCCGGGAAGGGTGAAAAGTATGACATGGCCCATATAATGCTTGGATTCATAAAAGACCATATTTTAGTGTTGCACTTGGAACTCTGTGAGAACTGGGGATCACCAGGGCTGATTGGACTAGCTGGATTGGAGATTCTCGGGAACAAAAATACTTCAGTTGATCCGAGCACTTTCACAATCACCTCAAGTTCTCAGGGTGACCCACAAAAGTAGGTTCAGCAGCTTGACATTAATATGAACCTACTCCAGACGATCCATCCTTTTAGACTAATCAACGGAAAGAACTTGACCAGATCACCTGAAGACATGTGGCTGATTCAATTTGACCCCAAACAGCACCCGACCATCACGATAAACTTTCACAAACCGATAACTTTGACAGGTTTACCTTTGAAATCTTTGTTTTGACTTCATCATAGTGAGAGCTTTAGGTATTTCGTTTTGGAACTATAATTCTTCGCCTGAAATGTCGTATGCGGGTGTTCGACTACTTCACATTTTCATCAACAGTCGTTTGGTTGCCAGTAACGTGCTGCTGAGAAAAGCACCAGGTAAATTTCTAGTTCACTCTTTTGCCTTCAATCAACAAGGTGAATTGGCTTCGCTAATAAGAAGCCTTCCATGAGTAGGGCTTCATAGTGTCAGTTCTTGCTCAGGTTTCAGCGAAAAGTTTTCACCAAAACTATCACACACCCAGCAACCCGTTAGTACCCTATCCTCTTTCTACACTATTCAGTACGAGCCTTGTAAATCTTGGCTTCTGTTAGAGGGTCAAGTGTGAAGCTAAACAGTTTGAGGGTTTAGCCAAACAAGAAACGGTGTCTCTACTTACAGCATATTGAACAAGTTCATTTTAAAATCTGTTTTTTTTTGACGTTAAGATCGTAAAATATTAACTCTTACAATGCAATTAGATAAGTCATCAACCTCTCACCTATTGTTAGAAGGAACACTCAAAAGGAAGCGCTAATGTTGTTTCATCCAAGCCAAAAATTTGTTAATTCACTATCGAACAATGAGTTTGAAAGCGGTGCGAACACATGTTTTGCACTCACCACAATAATCGAATAATTATGGAATAACCAAAAGATTTTGCTTTTGATTGCGAGGTCCAAGCTATCGAATAACATATGCAAGCTTGACAAAGCTTCTTGAAACAAAGTTAGAGGTTGGCTACCACACCTTAAAGTTGCGTCATATCCCACTACTCCAGTATAGAACTCTCACCTATACAACAGATCCTATCAAAATGGTATTTGCAAAAGAACACTTGATTTTATAGCATGGCAAGGTAATTTATAAATAAAATACACGTTTTATATTCAAGATGAATCGCTGAGCACCACTTCTAGGTTTCGTCTTCTTCGATTTCGTACAAGACATAAGCATCGATAGACCTCCCAGCATGCGCCCTCTTATGAGGCCAACAACACATTCTGTTTACGGATGTGAGTTCTTAGCTTATTAATAGCTCTGGAAAAGCTAATCTTTTCTCTTCCAGTCATCTTCCAGCTTCAATTGCTCAGCTCCTGGGGTGACGAGTTTTATATCGGACTAAATGGCATCGAAATGTACGATAGGAGGGATGAAAGAATCAAAGTCGGGCCGCATAGTAAGAATACAGATTTTTATAAGGCGGAGGATTTTTCTTATCTGCAAAAATTATTTGAAAACTTCAGATTTGGCTGCGTTTCCTGAAAGCGTTAACATTCTGCCATCTGTAGAAGGTGATCCAAGAACTAGCATGAATTTGATAGACGGCTGTAATGACACTCAGAGGTGAGGAAATCATTCTTTGGGTCCTGAAACCTAAAGAAAATGAATTTTTTTAGGGCCGAGCACATGTGGCTGACGCCGATGCTGCCAAATCGTTGTGCTCGTGTTTTCTTCGTTTTCGATGTGCCAATCGCTGTGTCAACGATCGTGATCTACAATTACCGTAAGACCCCTGCAAGAGGAGTTCGGCATATTTCAGTAGGTTTTGATGACGGAATATCAAATGTAAGTGTCCAAAAATTTTTGCAGGTTTCTGTGGACGATCAAATCGTGTACTCCGGTGATGTGCCTGCCAGCACACCAGAAAAGACGGGAATTCTTGAGATTAATTTTGCAGGCATATAATTTCGGAAAAGGATATGCTAGAACTTATTTCGGAGAATAATGTGTCAAAAACGTGAAGTAGTATGTTCCTTCAGAATCAATAATGTTTTGTAGCATACAATTTTGAGAGTATGATGTGACCAGGTAGCCATTTACAGGTTTTAATTTTACTCTTGCGTGATCGAACCAACTGTGTGATGTGTAAAGTAATTTCATGCAAGCTATTCTTTCACAATAAAAGACCAGATAATTATTTTATAACGGAGATAATAAATTCTTATAAGCTACTTTGACCTTCAAGTACAAGTCTCAGTTCACACTTGCGTTGCTGTAGATGACGTTGTCGAACTTCTACTATAGCCTCTCACACCTACGAGATTCTTGAGAAGCGGAGTAATACCCCTTTAAAGCAAATATTCGAACAAAATAGAAAATTCAGTTACGCAGAAAAGCAGAAAATAACACGATGTTGTCTTTATAATAACACCATTTTTATTTTATAATTTTGTTTTGTAGAGCGCCAAATTTTCCAATATAGTTCCCATTTTCAACAAATTCACTTGAATTGGTAAAGTCCAGGAACAAGAGACCATGCGCTTTCAGGCTGGCCTGGGCAGAATAAGTGATATATCGCGGCGGTGCATGCTAGTGAAGAAAATTACTCAAGTTTACCCTTCCAGTACTGCCATTGCTCCCAATTGTATGTGTTGAATTGCAGTCATTCAAACGCTAAAATTATGAAGTGGTTGGGTTCTGAAGCTAAAGCATCCAACTGAGCTCGACGCCGCGCATTATAACACATGAATGTGCCGTCTAAGCAGGGCTCGGCACGAGCTGGCACCAGGGAAAATCCAAAACGAACCCCCCTTTAATCTTGAAAATTTTGAACGAAATTCTTTTTGACCTTAACTTTAAACGTAAAAAGTCTCAAAAAACGAAACGTCGACTAAAGAAAAACGTCGCAATTTTTGTGTCTTTCTTACCACGAAACCCCCTTGCTTTTGTCTTGAAAACAATACCCAGCTTGACAGCACTGCGACTGAGTAGGGTAGGCAAACACTACGTAGTCAGTTTTCAGCACTTTAATGTATCTAAATACTGTAGTCAATGCCATAAGTGATATGCTGTAAGCGAAAATCTGAACAGAGTGAAAGCTGACGGAACGCTGTACTGGCTGCCTACCGTATAACTACCGTACTCAGGATTTTGAATGCCAGGTGCGTCTCTTCGAGCTGAGTTGATAGCTGAGTGCCCAAGTATTCAGCACGCGTCCACTTTGAAGTTGGCGGCGATGCAACGCGGAATCTGATAAACTAGATACATTAAAGTCCACTTTTCAAAACATAGTTTAATTAACATAGTTTATGGTTTTGTACCGAGGGCATGATCAAACAAAATAATACAAGTTGTTGCATGTTACATCTGCAGATAATAGATGATTAGGTAATCTTTTGAACACTTTATTATGGCTGAGCACGGGGTAGTTCATTTTATATCAATCGACCTTCATGTCTACCTCTGTTCCAGCTGCGGTCTCTTCATCCACTGAGCGGTTATTACCAGGGTCACTATTGGATTTGATCTACCAGTTAGACCAGATGCACTTTTGAAATTTAGGCTCAGCGAAGCCCTCTACGCGCCATTCAACGAACCACCAATCGCTATCACTGGTCATTCGGTCGTCTACCGGACCTTCTCTCAGCTGTCAGTTCAAAAGAGACATTGCCTCAATGATGCTTTTGACCTCGAACTTCAGCTATCGCGGTGTGATTGCCGTCAAAATAATCAACAAAAAAGCCTTGCCACCGGCTATTGCAGACAAGTTCTTACCCAGAGAGCTTGATATAACAATCAAAGTGAGCTTACCGTAGTCCTACAGAGCCTGTAACCAGTGAGAGGCCGCAGGTGCGACATCCCCATCTGTCAAGATGTCTTGCCGTGCTAGCGCCTTCTCCATCAAAAATTGTCCTTATTTCGGAGTTTTATCAAAAAGGGACGTTACTGGAGCTTATTCTACGTGAGCAACGAATAAAAGGTAAACTCATTGGTTAGTGGTCGCGCTTAATTGCATTTCTACAATTGCAGAAGCTCCTCAAGGTGTGCGTATGTTCCGCCAGCTGGCGGAAGCTGTCCATTATTTACATGAGAGAAATATTGTTCACAGGTAATCCCAATTGAAATCTTTAGTGCGCAACTGAAATCTTATGGGCCAATGGCTTAATTTTTAGAGATATCAAACTGGAAAATATTTTGATTGATGGCAATGGAGATGCTAAGCTAGCCGACTTTGGTTTCGCCAGATTTATTGCTCGGCGGGAACGGTGCCATTTTGCGTTTTTTAGGAAAATAAGGAAAAAATCTCATTTTCTTCAGGTCACGCTCGTTCTGTGGCACCAGACCATATTCTGCTCCGCAGATAACTCTCTACAGACCTTATGATTCGTATGCAGCGGATTGGTATGCTTTGGGCGTAGTACTGTATACCATGCTAGTTGGCAAATGGCCAAAGGTGAAACATCTGCGCAAACAACTTGTAATTCTTACTACAAAACTGCTGCAGTTAGGTTGGTAAGCAACTAATGGCTAGACGTTCAGGATAATCTGCCGAATACGCCGCAAGCAACAATTTCATTTCCGGATTCCACACCTTCCGCGGCATGCCGGAGGCTTATCGCTTCTCTTTTGGAACCGGTAATGCTGAAATATTGGATAGGCTTCGGGCAACTTCACGCGATTTCCTCGCTCAACTGTTACGAGTCCATTTCATGCTGATCGTCCTGCATTTCGGCTTGATAGTTTTCCGACACGACTAAGCGTGACCAGCTATCACTGTTATAGTACCAGTTGTCGAAAATCGCGAGGCGACGAAATCGCGTGAGCTTTGCCCAAGGCCATAAAAAGCTAAAGTAGAAGCGCTATATTCAAGGACGAAGATATAAGAGCTGGATATCACGACTGTGTAAACTCAGAGTGGATGGCGCTGCAACCAGATTGGATATTTGCAGATCAAAATTTTGTTTATCAACGTATTCATTCTCACCGATACACTTGTTAGTTATTCTTGAATGTTAATAAAGATTTTGTTTGAACCATCAATTTTCAAACGGCTGCCGATCAAAGTTAGAACTGACAATACAACGCATGTGGGGCAAATATTTATTACAGTAAAGTAAACCCACTTTTTGGTATACACCGGCTTTTTGATCATATGGGAAATTGTACAGAGTGACGTTTGGACTACAAATGAAATCACAACAGCCGCTATGCAGATAGCAGCCATTCTTGCACTTGTACCTGCTAATCTGTTGTAACATAGTGAAAGCGTAGAACATCTGATATCAAACTCTAATCTACAAACTATACGAAGCTATCTGCAAAAAGGATCGACTAAATCGGTGCATACACTTATAAAATAACTATTTCTTAAGAATGAGCAATGGTTACAAATTAGAGGATATATAACTTACATGACTAAAAACTGTCAAGCTGCAACTGATTATAAATGAAAGAAATACAATAACCTACAAAGGCACGAACCAAAATTTTTTTGTTTGGTATAGTTTTTTTTTGAACTGTACACGTCTCAGCTAGATTTTTTCATTATACTTGGTGATTATATTTTTCTCAAATTTCTCACTAGCTGGCTCAAAACCCGAGCTTGTCGTTTCAATGTAGCATTCGGTGTGAGATTTTGGAACTCTGTAAAAAATAGATTTTGAAAGAAGAACGACTAGGCTAACAAAGGAAGGATACTTGGTGACCTTGGTCATTCGTAATAAGACATATGCATCACTAGATGCCTCAAAAAACAACTATGATTGTTAATTGATTGAAAATCTGTTTTCTACCTACATTGTCTGGAATAAGTTAATCTTCTTCCCAGTTTGGGCTGTTTCGGTCAGGAAATAATACGAGCATCGTTCAAATTTCTGGTTCCGTTCCTCGGAGCAACATATCAAAAAAGCACCATTACTCTGAGCTTCAATGACCTTCCCAGATGCGTTCACCCTCAGATGTCAATAATTCTGACTATGCTCTAGTGTGAAAAAATTAGCGGGAAATAAACTCATAACTTGTTTAGACAACCGTTTAGCAGATAGCGAAAACAGATTTGTAATCAGCGTCTCAAGAAGATGCAATTGATGATATGTGTCTCATTACGACTGGCCACGGTCACCAAGTATCCTTCTTTTGTGAGAGATCCAAAGACTGACCTGTAAGACTTTGAAGCAGATCTTCCGTCACTTTGGGCACCATAACTCCGATATCGTCGTCATGCGGTTTGAGAACATCCACTATATGTTCCATGTACCTCAAAGATTTCTGAATCGTGGCAGCATTCCCCATCATTAGTTGTAAATGCCGGATAACCAAAAAATCTTATTCCGAAGTCGTCAAAGTTACCGGAACTTCAGATCGGTATCCGAGTCGAGTCGTAAAGATAATTGCTGTAAAAGGGATAGCAGCACTGGTTGTGAGAGAGTACAAGGAAAACGGAACAGTTCATCAGGATCCACGTTGTTGCATACAAACTCAAGCGCTGCTTGGTCGCCTTGATTCAGCGCCTAGACTGCGAAGAAATTGAGCAAGATGATGGGAAAGAGGCAGAAGTATAACATAGTAAAAGAACGTACAGTTTCAAAAGCGAGTGGAATCTGGTTATTTTTGATCATATGCGCAAGAGCTTGTCGATCTGCTCCGACCGAAAGAGATGGAGCTGGAGTAGCACTGGCTGCAACTGCTGCGAGCGTGGCCGTTTGCAGCGCTCTCATCTGTTGCAGATACTGAAAAATTCATATCAAAATCTTGTGTATTATACAGCAACATATGAAAATAGACGACCTGCTCAAGGCCATGGCGGAAACTGTCGTTGAGCTGTTTGAAAAGCTGCGCACAAATCCGTTCTATGGCAGGTACCACCATCGTTGTCAGCGATTCTCGTAAACGTTCGGTCACACGATGTGAGACCGCATCCGCGCTCAGCTAAAAGTGGATAAGTAGCTCATGCTGGAAGAAGACCAGTGGCCGTATTCATCATTGATACCTTGAGGTAAATTCTACCTCCAGGTAATTTTATCACTCATTATCAGCAAAATTACATTGAGAATTTACCTCAAGGTACTTTGTGAATACGGGTACTTGCTGATAATGAGTGATAAAACTACCTGGAGGTGGAATTTACCTCAAGGTATCAATGATGAATACGGCCACAGGAATGCAACTGGTGAGTAGTACAAGAATTAACGCTCATGACGGCCGGCTTACCAGCCTACTGATAACCATGACCAACCTTATGATTTGCTTGAATAGAATTCTCGACAGCAACAGAGTTCTCGTTGAGTGCATTTCGAACGACGTTAATGGTTTCGCGGTGATTCGTTTCAATCAAGTCGGATACGTTAGCTAATAATCGGTCCTCTCGTAACGAAAATTCTTCCTCTGCAAAAGAAGGGACTCTCTTTAGAAACATGTTTGAAAAACTATTATATCTCCCATCTAATGATAGAAAGGAAGGTATAATCTACTTACTAAAACATTGGAGCTGCGTAAGAATATGTTCATTTGTGGCAGCTGAGCGTCGTTCACTATCAGCACGCTCCACACGAACAGACAGTTGTTCAATCTGGAATAGCATTCTGTATTCCATTACGCACATGCGATATTGGTCCCGTAAGCAGTATAATCTCGCGGTGACGATAGCTGGATTTCAACCCCGGAAAAATACTGCTGCGTACCCCGTTGACAAAACGCGTTTCTCTTGCTGCGAGGATGCACGTGCTGCGAGTGAACAGCTTTACAGCCAACATCAAGAGACTCAAAATGTAGCGAAAAGCGCAGTTCAGATTGCTGGCGTCTAGCATTTTTTTCAACCAGTAAATAATTATGTGTCGAGCTCCATAACACTCACAAGAAAGATGTTTCGCTTTTCTCATGAATGAAGGAAAGACCTGATTGTAATCAGGATGTACTTCTACTTTAAAACTAATATCCAACAGCAAAAAAAAACTTTCGAAAACTTACCCCAGCACAAAGAGTATGAATGAATCAGTCCAGATACAGAACAAAAGCTAACCTTTTCATTCATTTCTTTCAGTTGTTCCATTATCTTCTCATAATTCACCGTTGGTGTGGAGTTTGCTGGAGCTGGTGGTACTACCGTCAACAGATCGCTGGGGCCTTCGCTTCTTCTGCTAAAACACATACTTGTGGCGTAACCAACTGTACTTAAAAGCTTTTCACTACCACCATCTAGAGCAGGGATGCTTATCCTAGTAATTTTTTCCACCTGTGTATGTAATTTATGAATTATTTGGTCATCAATACCCAAACGAGAGACAAATAACCCTTTCAAGAAGGACCAAAGAATTCGATTAGATAATAGATCATGGTGATAGGAAGGGCAAATCAAACAACTGATCAAATGGCGCCGAGCATAAGTTGTACTCCGTGAAACTACTGTTACTTGGAAGCAGATAGCTAATCCAGTATTATTTTTATCCTTGAAATCTTTGCTCGTATTCACCAGCTACCCTGAAGTTTCTATGTACCATACTACTGATGAAACTATCTAGAAGAAATTTTATCCTTTCGCTACAAGACTACAGATTGACTAGTACGGAAATGAGTAATAAACTATTGCTTAAAACTGACTGACCGCTCAGCGCCATCGTTGTCAACTTCAGTTTTGATTGCAGACATGACATCTGTTGAAGACTTTTGTTGTTCCGCCAATTCCAAATGTACATCAAGTTGAAGAAGGCTGCGATGGCCTATCGCAATGTAATGAGCTAGCACTTCATTGCGATTCCGATCGTTGTCAAACTCATCATCCAGTGAGTAATCTGAAAAATCCTACTGTCAACCTTCTCATGGGACAGCAATGCTTGAACTGGGGCTGCTCCCTTACATTCCGTCTAATAAGACAAAACATTAGCTAGACTTCTAAGAGACACAAAATGAAAGTTTTCCAATGCGTTTGCTTCACAAAAAAAAGCTTAAGAGAATAAAAAATACCCCAAAACCGTCTTAAGCTTGAAATCGTTACAAAATTTAATATGCTGTACACCTTGTATAATGTCTAACAATAAGAATTTGTAGAACTTCATCTAATAAACGATAAATTCCAGAATGTGACAGTTCTTAGCACTTCGATCAATAAAAGATGCCTTCTTAACTTACTTCCTCTTCCGAAGCTCACTAATACTACATTATCACACTCATATGAATTTCATTGTTGATAACGTAAATAATAATTGGAAAAGGAATGCATGTGAATGGGAATGAAGCGCTTACCGACGCTTGACTCGTGCTTCTCTTCTGTATCAACCTCATAAGGAACGATGGCAACTATTGGATGTGAAAATGTTACTTGTGTGACACCAGCAAAACGCGGATGCTCAGCGTACTCAAGTTCTACGCAAAACACATTCTGAAATGCATTTCTTCGCAAGCAAGGCAAAAAGTACCGTAGATCTTTGAAAAAAAAAACGGTGATAAAGATTACCGATCCATCCACATCCAAGATATGAGCGTAGCGAGCTTGTGGGTCCACGTGCACGGCGAACGTAGCGATCTCAACGGACGACTCAAAGCGAACACGTCCCAAGCAACGCCAATCTTCACATTCAAATAACGCTAAGCGCCGGCCGCCTTCAGCAACTACGAGGCAATGCCGCCAGAATTGCTCTCTTCAAAAAGAAAAATCGATCAGATAAATTTATAGCACTCAACGGCCTAGAGGGTGCACTCACTGATTTTTAGACTGTCGAGCCCCATCAAGAAAGAATAACTCGACAATTGGGCGATTCATCTGAGGATTCCACGTGTGAGCAAACTTCAGTTCACTTTCGTTGGAGTTCATGACATAGAAGGACACCACTCCATCAGCGCGAGCGATGGCTACAGCAGTCGAATCAGGAGAGATGCAAACCGCAGTAACCTCCTAAAGAGTACTTCTTTGTGCGCGTTCAGTGAAGCAGATACTCGCTAATCTCCGAGAGTTCAAAATGGTGTAACACTTGATTCTCACCAGGTTCATCTGTCAAGACGTTAGAAAAACTATGATAAGTTAAACTAACGGCGGATTCAAAGATTCTATCTTTACACAGAAAAGGAAACTTCTTCGAACGTGCCGTATTTGCAAAAATGTTATTGAACAAATGTCTGAAGAAAACTCGTCTAATTATAGAATGCTACCGTCAAAGGCATCTATGCTCCTAATTATAGATGCGGAGTAGTGGCAGCTCAAAGCGTGGTGGTTTTTGATAGCGAGGAAGTACGAAAACTATATAACGTAGAGGCAACAAGTTTAACCTCATTATAATGAAGGAAACTCCACAGCCGGTCCTCTATACAAATCTGACAGCCGGTCATGGCAGCATTTACACAGTGAAAAATGGAATGTTTACCTCTTCCATTTCGACAGAAAGTATAGCTTCCTCTACTCCCATTGCTTCCTCGAACGTCATTCGTGAGCCCCGCTCCTTCAGTACACTCAGGTTGACGACGTAGACTTTATTTTTCTGAAAAGCAGTTTAGCATGGACATAAGATTATAGGTTATTACATAACCAAAATTATCAAACCTTGAAAAGCGCAACCATGTTGACTACATCCGAAGGATCAGAAGGATTTTCAGCTACATATGGGCACCATACAACGCGTGGAGTACTATCCGAGCCTCCATCAGGCCAATTCATGATAGTGATATAGGTTTCACTAAAGTCGGAAAAACGAAATGTATAAAGACAGCATGCGATGAAGTCAAGCGAAAGAACTTACACATCCTGGCAGTCTGCAGTGACCGAATAAACATGAAGATTTGACTCGCCGTCTACAACGGCAAGGAAAGGAAGATGTGTGGCAAAGCGAAGATCCACTGGAGCTTTCGAAAAACCCTGAAAATGACATAGAAGGAATATGGGCAATAAAAAGATAGATCGATGAAGGGTACCTTGATCAAACGACGATTCCTTGAAACTCTGTTGATTATGCGAATAACATCACCCGTGTTCTCATTGAAGAATCGAAAAGCGATAAGATCTCCCTGAACTGCGAGGAAGCGCCCTTTCAGAGCACGAATCTGAAGTATTCAGAATCAACATCTAGGTTATATGAAAGAAGCTAACGAAAGCACAGAACATGAGACATAAAAAAAAACAAGTCTGCAATTTGCAGCTTCTATACGTACCTATGTGAAAGAGATACGAACAAAAGAGTATGTAATAGCCGTGAACCTACATCGCCCTTATAGTCGCTGATGGTAGTAGTATGAATGCGAGCACTGTCACGTTCCCTTGTCTGCGATTCCAGAGCCAAAGATAGACTGACATTGTTGCCATTGGCAAATTTGATCACTCCGTCACTTCCATCGAGTACGCTGGAGATATGCGGTGACTGAGTGATAAACCTCTAGGAAACAAAAAAGGCAAGTTTTGCTAGATAGTTTCTTGAGTAGTCAGGTGAAATAAGAAATTATCCATACGTTTTGCTGTTAGTTTACCACTATCACTCGTCTAAGCTCACCGACCCGCACTATCTTTGTTACCCATGTTGGTTTTGCTATCTCTTGGCAATGGTTTGAGTGTTTCCCATTTGACTAGGCTACGTTATCCTGTTACTCCTATTACCAAGACAAGTGTTTGCGATATCGTCACCCTCGTAACAACTTTCCCAGGAATCGATGTTACCCATGTTACCACTGCTACACGCGCTATCACTTTTAACACATTCACGACAATAGAAACCACCGCTGTAGATCGTATGCTGTTCTAAGGCACGCGCCATACTTGATCCGCTTAATCCGCTTCGTCATTGGTCGATTCAGTGAACTGACCAATAGCGGAGTGGTTGTCCCTTAGTCCACTTCATCCACTTCACTACTGGTCAGTTCACTGATTTGACCAATGACGAAGCGGATCAAGCGGACCAAGTGGATTAAGCGGATCGAGTATGGCACGTGCCTAACCTTCGCAAGTTAACGACAAATCTTCGTGGAATTTCACCACATATTTGAACTCAGATAAAGCTCTGATCAAAAGACTAAGATTCCCGGTCATGAAACGATCCACCGGTGAGCGTAGCGCTGATTTGCAAAGTATCTGCTCCAAAATGACAGAAAGTGAGAAAATGGCCTAGTCGTATATGTGCTAACAAGATTAACACCCACGTTACTCGTGTCAAAAACGTAAGCGCGTCGACTGCAACCCATTGCTGCCCACACATGCCGCTAGTTTTTACTGTTACCATTGTTTATCCGATCACCAAGGCTGCGCGTTATCGTGTTATCGGCGTTAATGACCTTGCCTTGCAACCCCTCACACTTAGGCAGTGCTTGTGCAGAAAGTCTGCGACTCTTGTTCCACAGCGTGCGCAAAACACCACTTCTGAATTTTCTTCAAACGATGCTGGAAAAGCTGATGCTAGACTGGTCAAGCACGATAGCGACCTGGACAATGGCATCCACCTGCCAGACCTACCCGCCCACCATTACCCGCACAAATACTGTTCTGTAGCCTGAAAGCACTGTAAGACATTCCGGACTACGCATGCGATGTCCACGAATGAGAACACTGTCAAGAGTGTCTGTTTGAGAGTTCCCCCAGAATGCAAAGTATACACAGTAAACGCACTAGCACTACGCTTGAGGTATAGAGCTACTGTTCAAAAAGGCCGTTATAACGCACTACCAGATTAGCCCAAAAACTCCTATGCCAATGTTCCCCATTGGCTAACCCCTCCCCTTCCCTTGAAATGAATGTCCCTACTTGTCTGCAGTACTAAGTGTTCATACTACAAAAAGTATATGTCTCCGCAATTTTGCGAAAGAAGGCTTAACCGCTACGCATGGCTGCTCATAAAGTACTTCTCGATAGAAATGAGCAAAAAAGCAAAATGGCTTGTCTGCATAAACCATAGAAGGTAACTGCATGCTAATGATGATTTTATGTTGGTCGATTAAAGGGGATATATGTCAGGAGGCGCTTTTATTGCCGGTGGGTATAACCTTCTAGAAGCCTTTATATTTTCTGAAGAGATATGCAAGATGCCAGGTTTGTTAAACCTGTCTTGAAATAGATATGAAACATAAATTTGAAGGTCAAAAACCAGTAATAACACAGTTTATCACTTTCATGAATCTTCCGATCAGTTTTTCACCAAAAGCATCAAACTAACGATGGTAACTTCAGATAGTTAGTAAGCTAAAGCACCTTGCCTGATATTCTTGAAAGACTAGCATATCGAAAATGGGCTGTTGATTTCGTGACCTCCGGAGAAAGCGCGCCTCCTGACAATCTCCAGAAAAAAGGCACAAACAATTGGGAGAAAAACATGAACATGGCCGTTACTGCAGAAAACTAGAAGATCAAAACTCTGCTGGAATAGGGAATGTTCTACGATAGTGATCTCTATATGACACCTAATGTACAGCCACAAAAAATCGAAGTTTCCCATACCGCGTGCCACATGCTCATAATATGTATGCAGCAAAGCAAATTTGTATAAAATGGTGCAAAAAAAACGAAACGAAAGAAAAGGCTCACTATTTCTCGACGATCGAAGAAGGAGAAAGGTGATCAGCTGGCACATATGGGTCTCCCATACCCATACGTTGCTTTCAACCTGCAATTTCCACAACAAAAGATATCAAACTGTCATAAGGATATCATTCGAACGCATAACGACGAACAAATAGAAGAGAGAAATATTAAGTTTTCAGCACGAATTTCTGGGTATCTAGACCATGACACCTAGAGATACGTGATTGAAGTGAGGATATGGTAAGGATGACGAAAGGTGAGAGATCCACCTTGACCATATCTCGGCTACTGCAGGTTCTCATTATATGATTTCGTAGCATAAGCATATATGAGGCAGCGATTTCGCGATCTCAAAGCTGCATAGGCAATTCATGCCAACATCACTAAAGATCAGAAGACAAACGACCCAAAATCTGTTCTGACAAAAGATGAGGTTGCATTATTATCCCTTGAAACATCCATGTTTTCAGACTTACTCTGTTCGAACAAACTAATATTACCAAAGAAATGAGGGCTGGTCTTATAGACAGCTTGCGTGTTGTTGAGCTCCAAAGCACTTCTACGGCTGTCAAAACCATACATTTAGCCGTAATTTTATTTACCCTTTCACCAACCTACTTCTTGCATTTTTACGTTTAGGACACTTGTTGTTCATGTCGACGATTCGATGCCATTAACGTGCATTTGCTACATCAGAAATTCACGAAAAATAGTGAACCCCCTCAATTAATGCTATTGACGTGCGTTTTGCACGGCTTCAATTTTGTCACTCAACAGCCGCTGACATTCCAGCGAGATAATGACCAAGCACGTCATTTTGCAGACCCTCTCATCATAATTGCCCTACTGCAACCAAATTTTCCAGCAACTGGCAAATGTTGGCATACTTTACTGAAGGTTCAACAGCGAAGCATGTTTTGGTAGAAAGCCATACAGCATCATATGTTCTCCACAGATAAATCAAATGCACGTGATTGTCCGGACAAAGAAGGGTTTTCACTAATCATTTAATGGATCCGAAACTGTTGCTCAAAAAAGCACTTTTTATATGCTCTTTTTATAAAAACTGTTTCTCAAAGACAAAATGATCTCCAATCAGTAATGGAGAGCCAATCACGACAGGAAAGTGTTCCAAAGACTTGATGCACATTATCTGTCCAAATCCCCACAGAAACGTCTCAGAATTACTGTTAAAGATGATGTCATGTTATATAAGCTGTTTTCCGATGGCCGGATAAGATGTAGTTGTGGCCAAATGCCTTTGCCGATGATAATGGAAATTCATATAGAGCTTCAGCGAAAGTCCGTTATGCTTTGCCAAACATTCTGACTAGTTTATAGTCACAACCTTCACTGGATAAGATATGCCTCATAGTAAGAACACCCAAGAATATAGGAATTTAAGTGAACTCAAGTTGGGCTATAATTCCCCTAGTACAGCCTGGTGAAAGGCAACTGTTGCACGATAAAAAAAAGTGTGGACATATAATCGAGAGCACAGCACTGCGAATGAGATGTATCAATCCAACATAAATACGATCGTATCAATCCAACATATATACGATCAAGAATCCTTTGAAGTTGGGATAAAACATTCACGCAAGAAACCATATCATGACCAACAAAACCAAAATTCCAATGATTCCTACTCTCTATTCTCTCGCTTCTTTTTTTTTCAATCTGCCAGCAAAATCCATGACCAAACTGACCAAAAAATAATAGCTGCAGAGTTCAGCAACAAATTGTGCGTCCTTTAATGGAGAGAAAACATGAGCATCCGGATTCAATGTTGGCAAGAAGAAGCACAAGCCGGAGCCACAACGATGCACGCACGACTCGCAGTAAAGCAACAATTCAACCTTTAACTGAGTGAAAATTGACTGCGGCAAAGGTTCTTCAAGTTTTTGGCAATGTTTCAACTGCGACAGTCGCGCATTCCCTGCAAGACCCGCTTGGCGCTCCGCCCATTATCGATCGTGTCACACTTTCGTCACCGCGCCGCACGTCGTCAGTGTCTCGTTCATCGCCATGGATTACGTTCAGTTGTCATCGTCGATGGGCTCGGGTTCAACTGCAGTTGGTCCTGTTGTAGTCCAAACGGATACCACTCCTCCTTCTATGGAGACCGATTCGGGAAATTCGTATTCTCTTACTGATCTGTCATCGTGCCGTGCCAGTGTCGAGGAGCAGCCTATGTCTAATGTAGTGTCTCTTTTTGAGATTTATCCGCTGTTTTGAGGCATTGTATCAATTATTCTCTCGTTTCTTGGTCGTGTGATTGACGTCTCGCCAGAGTTTTGTCCTCGTTCATGCTTGTCGCATGGGACGAATTGCGATTAGATCTCGTCGTACCTATCCTCAGATAGCTAGGTGCTGGACATGCAAAGTTACCTCAAACTGGGCAAAAATTAAACCAGAAAATACCTCAAACTTAGGGATTAGATGCAGGTGTTTTGAACTCAAACAGAATCTTGTTGTTTCAAGGAAACTGAGTTTCTAAATTGTTACGCGTGTGTGCATCAATATTTTATCGGTTCGGATCAGGTGCTTTTTTTTTGAGGAGAGCGATTAGAAATTGCCCTTTTTGAAGCAAGTGGTTGAATTCCTTTAATATTTTATTTTGTTCATAAAAAAACCAACTCACTTGATGCGTTGTATATGACGTTAGTACAAGTTGGAAGTTTTGAGTATTAGAGCATTTGCGTGGCATATCGATGAAGGTCATGATAATGATTTCGCGACATGCTAATAGTTTTTGCGGCATGATTTTTCTTGTTAATCAGGCCATCCACACACTTTACATCAATTCTGCCGACATAGAACGGAAAGAACAGTTGCGTTTTGATCTAATCGTAGTCAGCATGTCGCGGAGCTCCCTGAACCAGTTTCCAAGCCAATTCGGGTTTCTAGTGGTTCTAAACTTTACTCACCGTCATATCAAGAAAAGGTGAAGGTGCACACACCAACGATTGAAGTTTTTGGCACTCATTACATATGCTCGGGTTCTGTAGCGTTTGAAACACTTGCATTTTGCCTCAAACTTGGATAATTAAACCAAATCTTCTCTATGCGACTTTCTATTTTGAGGATGTTTAGGGTTGGAGCTATCAAGATGAGCTTTTTGCCCATTTGGATTTTGAGCCAACCACGTCTGGAAGCAGTGTGGAGTAAGTCATGGCTTGCAAATTTCCTATCATTATTCTTACGGGCCTTTATTTCAGCGCCATACCGGTGACGTCCGCTGATAATCCAGAAACTGAAGTGGAAGATGATAACATTTACAAGTACTACTATATGTTGGAGGATTCACATGAAGACGTTCTGAGAAAGGTTAGTTACACTGTTGACACGATGATGCTAAGCGCTGCGAAGAAAACTACTGACAACGAGAGGATACTTAGTCGAAAGCACCAATCCAGATGAGACATATATCATCTTAAAGCGCTTGAAACGCTGATTCCAAATCTGCAGTTTCTAACTGCGGAGCGGTTTTGTAGAAGAAGTTATGAGGGGTGTTTCCTCTGGGGTTTAGGCGCCCTCCACCAGGTCTCTCCCTACCTATGAGCACTGTAGAGGAGTACCAACTGGTGTGGCAACTGACCTAGTGGTAAGTGACATGCTTGATAAAGAGAGTGTTAAGGTTTTAATCCCCTTCGTATGCTAAATTGAACTTCTAAATGGCTTTAAAGCTCTAAAGCATGAAACTTTTGATGATATTAATACTAATCGAAGTTAGAAGTGTTTAAAAAACCAAAGTAATATGAGTATTACAGTCTTCACTGTAATCTTCATTCAAGTTACTTACCATTAGGTCAGTTGCCACAGCTGATACTCCTCTACAGTGCTTAGAGATGCGGAGAGACCGCCTCAGGGCGCTTAAACACCGGAGGGGGACACCCTTTATAACTCGTACAAAACCGCTCCGCAGCTAGAAACTGCAGATTTGGAATCAGCGTTTCAAGCGCTTTAAGATGACATATGTCTCATCTGGATTGGTGCTTTCGACTAAGTATCCTCTCCTTGTGAGCAAATTGTGCAATATATTGTCGTTCATCCAGTGTCAAGCGTTAGAAAAGGTATTTGGCTATAGAAAACATTTGACATTGCAAGTTTTGTGAGGGTTGGTTTTCGTTCAGACTCCGAAGTATATAGGGAGATTTTCTTGCTACAGTCTTTCATGTTAAATAATTTAGTATAGTTGCTCTTATATAAGCGTTTCCGGGTGAGCGTGTAAGGGACTCGTCATACTTTGTCAAAAAAAAAACAAACTCGAAAGCGCTTAAAAAGCCCAGAAGCTCCAGAAAGAGCCGGCACACGCCGAAACGCATTTTGACGATCGTTGTCGTTGAGGAAGCTCTATCTAACAAACAGGAGTTCGGGATGCAGATACTAGGTTTGAAGGCAGTGTCTCTGCGGAATTTTTTCCACAGTCTCATTTTTACGGAGTCTTCTCGCCAGGAACCCATATCTAGTCCTTTTAGCGCATGAAAATGGTGGAAATGAGCTTTTCCCGAAGCTTTCCAGGCATGGATAATACGCCCAAGAGGGCGGGGCGCGAGGGAGTTCCGGCGTATCTCCACTGAATGCGGACCTGGAAAGCTTCGGAAAAAGCCACTTCATTTTCGCCACTTTCATTCGCTGAAAAGTCCATATATAGATTCCTCATGGCGGGAAGGCTCCGAAAACGTAAATTGGAATAGTTTTGCCGAGACACTGTCTTTAACTTTCAGCATAATTAGGAATAGCAGTCATGCTCGCGAGCCCTTGGCATCAATTCTTTTGAACTAGACAAAGAGCTAGACAGAGGGAAATAGATGATCACAACAAAACAAAGACACAATAGTTGGGCTGTCAAGAAGTCAAAATAATTTGCAGTTTTTGAAATACAATCGCTAAGACATTGAACTTGATTCATCCGGCTTAGAACTTTTTCGAGACTGGCATTATTGTGATGTGCAGACAACGACAGAAAATGTAAGGACTCCGATCCTTCCTTTTGGGCGCTTTTGGGCTTTTTTCGGCGAAATATGACGGGTCCCTAGGAGAATCAGTTTCATTGGTTTTGTGAATTAGGATTACAGAACACGGCTGTATGTATACTTTGCAATCTGCTACATATCTCTAATCTGCTATCAAGCTTTTCTCTAGTTTTTCTAACGAATTTCATTCTAGCTAGAAGAAGAACTTGTTCGTGAAGAATCTGAAGAGCAGTCGAAAGTCCAAGAAGTCAGTGCAAAACTTAAGGTAAGCTTTTGAATTAGTGAACTGATGTATGCAACATTGCTGAGCTGCATGCTATGATATTGTCCGATTTAATTGGGGAAGAGATCATGAGGTGGCATGAGGTTTCTGAATGAGCACATATACGGCTTTCACTATGGCTACGGCTCATCTGTTATAGGCTTGTCCTTTTCATTGCTGAGTGTTATTTCGGTGAGAGGCTTCTTAAGCTTTCCCTTCCATTTTACTTCGTGGAATATTCTTTTGATAATTTTCATAATTCTCGAAATTGGTCATGTGAGGGTTCTATGGAAATCGTAGATTCGAGAGTGTGTTAGCTCGTATATAAAAGGCGGTGCCCCCGTCCGCCTTTTATATACGAGGTATTTCTGAGGGAGGTAAAAAATTGACATATAGCTGATTCAGTGGCTTTGCCATATCACAACCTGTGTTCATACCTGAGTTTTTAGGAACTGGAGAAGGGTGCCAGGGAGTGGGTGCACATAGACAAACTGCAGAAGCGAAAAGTAACGCTCTCGAAAAGTGCGCAGGAAAAGAAGGCAGAAAGGGAACGAATAGCGCGAATTCGAAGGGAGTTGGCAATAGCTAATAGGGTGAGTTTTCTTCATATAGGTTCTCATGTCACTTCTGCCATATTTCAGCTATTACGATGAATGGGTATTTTTTCATTTGTGTACGTTTCAGGAACGCGAATTTTTCTGTTGTTTTGTGTGCAGCCGAGTTTTCACGGATGAGGAAGCGATGCGGCAGCATGTGTCGGAAAAGCACTTGGCAGCAAAAAAGGTAGCTTATACGGAATTGGTAACTGGTGTTCTGTATCAATGATTTTGTTTGAGAACTTCAATCTGAAGTGTCCACACTGTTACCTGCGGTTCACAGAGAAGAGGTTGCTTACCAAACATATGAAGTTTCACAAAGATGCGTCTTTTACTTGTGAAGTGTGCAAATTCCAGTTCAAGTGAGTTCGCCGTTTTACAGAATACAGAATAATTTATCATTCAAAGTTATCATTTGATTGCAATTGCTACAGTTCTGCGTCATCTGAATGATGTTGACTAGAGGTCAAGAAAGCAGCCCTTGTTTTCAGGGAACATTTGAGCTTGAAAGTTCATATGAGTAGGGCGCACGGCCTGTCCTTGGATGGAACGGAAATTGTAAAGAAGCATGAATGCAAGTGTGGTCAGAAGTTTGGACTCATGGAGGAGTTGAAGGTTTGCTATCACAATGCTTTTGAACAATCGCCTTGCAAGTTTTCACTTTTTCAGCGCCATAGATACTACTGTGATAATCGAGAAAGCATTACCGAGAAACGGCGGATAGCTCGCCAAGAGCTTGATGCAATGTCTGTGATCTCAAGTCCTGCTCCTTCAACTATCTCATCTTGTTCGGAGTCTACCAGTGGGATTAGTATTGGCAGTACATCTGGGAGACCGGTGAAAGGTGAAGAATTGTGTTCGATGTTATTGGGCTCTAAATTCTTACATTTTCAGACAAATCTTGTCCGTTTTGTTTTCTTGTATGTGCGTCCATGCAGTCTCGTAGGCGTCATATTGAGAGAAAACACCCAGAAAAATTAGGTGAAGAAGAGGTTGAAATTCATAGCTACATAAAAGTTCATTCGGTAAGTGCTGTTTGATTGCTACGAGGCGCTCAAATCTGAGTTATTGTTTAGCCTGCTCTTCCATTTGCATGTCCGTTGTGTGCGAAAACCTTCTCTAATCATGCATCACTTTCGCGACACAAGAAAAGAATACACGAGAATATAAAAGATTTTGTGTGCAGCACGTGTGGAAAGAGGTTTGTTATTGCTCCTGTTTATATTTCTGGTTCTGAAGATTCATTTACAGTTACCCAATCCCAAGCGAGCTGAGAAAGCACATGAAACGAGTGCATAATATACTTGAATGTTGACTTGTTCGTTTCTGGATTTGTATATTCTATGTTCTTAATAGTACTGGTCATGCTTCGGGTTTAGTTTGTACTAAATAAATGTTTTATTGTCATGTCTCATCAGTCGAGAGGAGAATTACAGTCTCTTTGAAGAAGTTCGTTGAAGTTTGCTACTGATAATCTGCACGAAAAAGAAGAAAAGAAAAGGAAAAGAAAATTTATGGGATTGGCATAGGTTGCCGTCAGCTGCTGCTGGGGTTGCGGGTGTTGCCAGGTTTCCCAACGGTAAGAGCATGGCAATAAGCATACGGTGAAAAAAAGAAGAAGTAATTTTCTGTCAAACATTGTAAGTTTCAACCCAGTTCAGGATTGGATGGCTTTTTTCGCCGCGTTCCCTCCGCCGAAACGGAGTGAACACGGCGAGAAACACATGCGAGGTAACTTTTTCCCATGTTTGAGGCGTGCAGAATACCCATCTCTAGGCACCAATGGCGACCGTGACACTCAGATTGGGATTGGCCCTCTATGGCCAATCCCTATCAATTGATATAAAGGTTACAAAGCGCTTGGAAGCTTGACTCAAATGTTCAGCATCGTCAACGAATTATAGCACAAATCCGGAAGAAGTCCTGCGGACTTTGTCCTGTCTGTCGAAGTGCTAATGATAGAGATATGGAGAGGGGCAGGAATGCTGCCAAAATGGTAGAAAGCTCACTAATGGGTATGGCTTTTACGGTGATGCATGATTGTTGCTGGTGGGCTAATTTTTGATGTTTATATGGACTCTGATTTCTAAGGCTCAATACGTGCTCGAGCAGGAATTTTTTTCTAATAGGTTGATGCATAATTCCTGCACCAAAATAGGTACAGACCGCAATAATCCGGAATAATCCTATATCCAAATAGGATTCGGTTTGTCATTAGATAGAGCAAACCTAGTTTTACAAGATAGTGCCTAAAGATTTGCAGCAGCTTTGATCCAAGCGAAGATTGAAGTCAAAAACGAAAAAGATCCAAGCGCCCCAAAACACCAAACACCAAGAAAAAACTGGAAGTCCGGTTCAGAAAAATCTTCAAGTCCTAACATGCTCATGCATTGTCATTTCGTATAAGAAATTTCTCTATGCAGTTGGTGTAATTTTTTCTCAGCTAGAAATTGAGAAAACGAAGTTTTTCGTGTTTATTCCAAAGCAATGCTGAGATGTTCTAGCACTGACATTGGTATACTACAGGACCTTAGAAGCATGAGTGTGAATTTTCAGCTTTTTACAGCAGCTGGTTTACGAGAAATATCGAATTTGAGCAGCTAGGCGAGAAAAATTCGGATAAGGAGAGCTAGATTCGTCATTTCGCGTGGAGTAGCAGTTCTAGAAGGCTGAAAATGTAATGTTTCACTGCTGATGGCATGTACTATACAACTTAGCGCCAGGACATCTCAGCACTAATCTGGCAAAAACATGGAATACTTCGTCTTCTCATCGTCTAGCTGAGAAAAAAAATACAGCAACCGCATAGATAAATGTCTTACGTGGAACGTCTACGCAGTCTTGAGCACTATCTTTTAGAGCTAGGTTTACTCTATCTAATAACATATCGAATCCTATTTGGATATAGGATTATTCCGGATTATTGCGGTCTGTACCTATTTTGGTGCAGGAATTATGCATCAATCTAATAAATTGTGGTCAAAGAGGAATATTTCAATATCTCACAATTGCCCACAACTTTGCTCGGGTTGAATCCAAAATTTCACACCACCAGGAGACGAAGAAGTTTGAGGAAACGCTAGTGATTTTGTAGGGATCACGATTACCATTTATTCTTGGGTTTTGAAGATTCAAGATGAAATACAGGTGGTTCAAAGGCTTCAGGTCAGAAAACTTAGGATAAACTGCACAACTTGTATTGGGTCGAATGTGATCATACTGCAGAATCTCTCTCTATAAGCAACATTGACTTGGGTGCTTTCAAATTCACGCAACAAGACTGTTCTGGTCATTCTAATGCTTAAAAACTACGACAAGTCCAAATTTTTGAATATTCAAGACACTATCTGTGGAGGTGGGCAATTCTGGGTTTTTGCAGTATCATCTGGGGAAAACTTGTTTTTCTCACCATCAACAAAAAAATGAATGAGATGTCTTATGAAGTCTCAGATATCTCCTTGATTTATTACATTTATAAAGAAATTATCGCAATTGAGCTTTGAATTGACCATGCAGATAGATACAACTTCCGTTTTTACAAGTGCGTGTGCGTGGCGTTAATTTTTCACAAGGCTAATTTGAATCAAAAATTGTGAAGATTATTCTGATCAACCACAACGATAAACAAGTCACTTGCACAATTTATTATTTACGTAAGTAACTTTCAAGCATTTTGCGACCCACTGTGGGAGGGGGACGTCCCCCTCATACCCTCCCTGGGTCCGACTGGACTAAAGTCAGGGCCCGGCACAGATTGTCTGGAAGCAGGCTGGACTTCGTTTTTGAAGCAAACAGCAAAGGGGATATTGTTTTTGATGAGTCGGAGCCGAGCATCAAGAATAAGCGCCATTTAGTCGAACACAAGCTTTTCGGAAATGTTATCACACGACTGACATGCTCTATCGTGCATGGCGAAAAGTGCGCGCGATTTGAAAGCAAGGCTCAAATAAACAAATTGCTTGTTTACAGCGCACACAGAATATATAGAAAATTATTTGCGAAAGTATTATGTAAAAAGATTTGAAAACTTATGTGAGTAATACCTTTTCAAAAATTAGATCGTCTCCAGACGGCCACCAGACGATCTGAGTATATTTTCGCCACTTCACATAAGTTTCGGATCTTTTTAGCATGGACGGATTCCCCGTCAAAAATCTATCCCTGAGCATGAAGACATTTTTATATCATTGCCTTTCCTTTGTTTTTTGCCTTCATTTCTTCTCACATTGTTAAATATCGCGCTCTAATGCCAAAGTCTTGTGCATCCATAGTATTCAGCTCCAATTTAGATTTTCACTCTTATCTTACGTCTTTTCTTTCAAGCTAGTAAATCTTTTTTGTTTTCATCTTCTCCTAAGCAGGTAGGTCAAAGGGGACTTCGTAAAACCCCCGAAAGTCAGGGGAGACTTCGTTATCAGAAACCCTAGAAACCGACTCGTGCCGGACCCTGATTAAAGTGCCTTAATTTTCAAGAAAACTGGAAGCGTGATTGCCCATTGCCCGTACGATTATAGTTCGCTTAGCAAGTGATTCACGGAGAGATTTGCGATTTCCGTTAGTTTATACATCGACCCAAGTCCTTTTATGCTGCAGGAACAATTGGGACTTGCTAAAAGTATTAGGCTGGTGCAAAAACAATGTCCATTTTTCTAGGCTTACTTTCCGAATACTTTTTTCCTTTATTGCTTTTTCGGTGTAGATTCTGCATATCTTGAGAGAGCTTTATTTATGTACTTTCCAACAGTGGTGAAATTAAGCTTCTATCTCATCCGTGGGAATTTCACCAGCATCTCGCACAGCTGCACACAAAATCGAGATTTCGTTGCTTTCACTTCGTTGGCCACAATTCAGGCGTAAATGAACGAACTCTTTTGAAAACATAGCATCTGTAGGTATCTGGACTGAGAAACCAACGCCCTCAAGATACTAAATACTTGCTGCTGGCATTCTGCAGGTACATGACTAAGGCAATCGCTAAAGCTTCGCTCATTTCTGTAATCTTGAGATCTTGAGAACATCTTTCCTACAATTTTTGCAGAGGAACTCAGTTATACACTGCATGAGGAATTCCAAATTTTCATATGGGACTTTACCACAAACAGGATCAAAAAGGTAGAGCTTTCTTTTCGCAGAACTCTTTCTTGAGTTTTATCTGTACATACATACATATAATGCTGGCTTGCGGCTACAGAGCTGATTATCAGCTATAGGAACAAAATCTGAAAGGGGTTGTAAGGTTTCAAAAACAAGGTTTTCAAAAGAGAACCTTTCGGTTTTTTGACGCATGGTTTTCTTCCATTTGCAGTATAAGCATGAACATTTGTGCGCTAAGTTAAGAAAGGCTTGCTGCTTCTAATGGTCTTGACTGCATTCAAAAGTATGAGGAATGAACAAAGTTAAAACTCTTCAAAGTGAAACATTTCAAAACGGACATTATTTTTGACCAACCTGATAGTTTTGTGTGCTTAAAATAGGCTCAACCAAGTCTTGTATGAGGAGGAATGGGGTCTTCCTCTTTCCCACTTCTCACTCTTGAAAAATAATAGAATCTGCCAAAAATTCTGTTTGATGAGGTTCAAACTTTTTGAATGGGCATAGGCACCTCTTCCATCTGTTAAAGCATCAAATCGGTAGCTAGAAGTCCATCATATCCATCACTGAAGATACGCTCTCAGCAAAGCCAGAAACTGACAAATCAGTGATGGTGCTGTCATCAGGGGCTCGTAGTATTCCCCCAAAGTCGATCTTAATTAGCGGTCGATGTTGTGGTATGCAGTTTGTCGGGTACGATCTGTTCTTCACATACTTAAGCTCACTCTGCCGCTCTGCCCGGGTCTATATGTGTTTTCCGATTTCGCTGGCGTGCGTGATGAGATGACTGCCCTTCTTGACGAAGTATGTGTTTGCCAGTGCCAAGTCATGCGCGGCGGCGAACTCCACAATACGTTCTCCTTCGCTGTTACGCGTCCCGTATCCTTGATTACCATGACATCTGCTTGTACAACTTCGTTGCACCCCTACATGGTCGTTGAAGTTTGCTCCTACTGGTACTCTATATTTCTTCGCATGGTATCGAGCCGATGCAGGCATCGATTTGCTTCCGCAATTCATGTTCCTCCATCTCCGTGCACCCTACTTGCGGAGCATAGGCGGTTACGACTCGGAGAATTCCTTTCTCTATATCCATTTTGACGCACATTGGTCGAGTCCTTTATCCACGTCCGTGCACTCCTCAACACGTTTTTATTTCGTTTCGGCGTCGCTAAAGTGGTTTCTGAGATCACCATAGCGACGCCGTTCTTGTTGTTGCACGTTCCTTTGTACAGAAGCTTGTACCCGTGTTCTTTGTGCCATGACTCCTCTCCTTGCCATTTTGTTTCTTGAATAGGACAATGTAAACTCTACGTCTTTTGAGAAGATCAGCCAATTGCGATTCTGAAATGTACCGACGGATCGATGATTCCCTTTATCAGCGCAACTAACCATGCCATATGACGCTGAGAAGGCGGGCCATGTCTACCATGTGGCCCCCTGTGAGGTTGCAGAAACTCTCGACCTGACTTTGACTACCGCAGGTCACATTTCGAACGTTTTAGCCTATAGTATTCAATAAAAGACTGAACCACCATAAATCTCTCTTGTTTACCGTATACCATTGCATCCTGACCCTAACATCGGTCGAAGAGTCTCTCATCGCGTGCACAGAGCGATCCTATATTGACGGTGGCTAGACGTAACGCTGAGAACTTGGGTACTCGCTTATGGTGAGCTAGCTTCTTTAACCGTTCTCGTTCACCCTGCGGCAGCGGAAACCCTAGTGTACTGGTCACATACGTCAGGCTCAAATGCGCGTCGCCCCCAGGGAACGCCCTAGTTCTTACTCCGAGTACCTGATAAGACCTTAAAGAGCATTCAATGCGACGAATTGTCTTCTTCAGCTTGTCGCTTGCTTTGTTATGCATTAGCAGCCTGACGCTGGATTGGTTGGACAAGAGCTTCAGAAGTAAGCCCCACCGTGGAACCGAACACATAATCTTCCTCACCGTAGTCAAGGGCACTAAACTCTCGACCTTCGCCCACGATGACGATGTAGAATGCTGTACATGTGCTGTGCCAAACTTCATCGAATAGATAAGAGCTTTCGGATCTCTCTGTAGGGTCGCTCGGAAATGATGCTCTTGTAACTTTAACAGCCTGACGCTGGATTGGTTGGACAAGAGCTTCAGAAGTAAGCCCCACCGCGGAACCGAACACATAATCTTCCTCACCGTAGTCAAGGGCACTAAAATCTCGGCCTTTGCCCACGATGACGATGTAGAATGCTGTACATGTGCTGTGCAAAACTTCATAGAATAGATAAGAGCTTTCGGATCTCTCTGTAGGGTCGCTTGGAAATGATGCTCTTGTAACTTTCACATCATAGTTTTCAGCAGGTTTAAACCACTCGACGTTACATACATATTCTTAAAAGCCTTGCCCTAAGTTCTTAGCAGGAATCGGAAACAAGAATTACATGAATACTTGTAACTTTGCCCAGCGAATACACCAATGCAAAGGACTTTTGACCGATACAAAGAATTTGAAAATTCAACCTGCACAAGGTGGAGTCATCTGCCAGATTTTGGCGCATACGTTGAAAGACATCTTCCATATTTGTGCATTAGTTTCATTCATTCCAACTTTGGAAACCCCAACTTGAATGTTGGGAACTATATGGCATTGTGATTTCTAAATACTCGTGTCTTTTAACCCGCCATGATCGACTGGCGCCTTAGTGGATGAATTGGATAAACAGAAACATTGGCCCACACTTGTAAAAAGCAATTTATTTGGCGCATTGACCAAAGAAAAAAGGCGAATGTCAAAATGTGCAACCGTATAGAAGAGATCAAACGACAATTACCATCTATGGGGTGATATGCAGGTGGGACAAATGGAATGAGACTGTCAAGTGGGAGTGTGAGGTGCAGCATAATGAGATCGTGCCTACTCAATTGTTTGGGTGGAAAAAGCTGAGCAACAAGAATATAAGCAGCGGATATGATTTGTGAATGATTGGAAAATGTACAAAAACACAGAATGACTAGTGATGACTAGGAGAATGGTGAGATCAACAGTCGGCGACGTTCGGTGAGCTGCGCGTGACGCTGGAGAAGCGGAAGGCGCGCACAACGTTGCAGAGGCGACGGCGCGCTGCTGCCGCACCATGACGAGCCGCTTCGCGGAAGTCTCGCTCTCGCGACGGAGATCGAGCACGGTCTGGAAAAATATTTTTGGATGACGCTTGTATTGCCTCAAGTTAGCGATTTTTAGTAGGGTGGTTACTGTGGTGGTGGCCTTACATTATGTAGAGCCTATAATAGAATTTACTTTTTAAGTATGTATCTAGCTGTGATTGCTATTATTGCGTTTTTCGCGCAAGTAAAATCGGTATATTGCCAATTTTTCAGTATTTGCAAAGCAGGAGTTTTTATAGAAGAGGAACGATCCGCAGCACCGTATTAGGACAGTAGTCCGGCAGCGCTTAACGGCGAACTGAATTCCTGCTGATAGCCTTGTCGCGATTTCAATGAATATTATGTGTCTGAGACAAACTTTTACAGGACGAAAGTCCTGGCAACGCTTCAAAATTGTTACCTTACTGGTGCCATTTTTTGGTAGTCTCAGGGGATTACTCGAAAGTTGTTAGCCGTGGATAGTCGAAGTGGAGATATACGAATTTATAAAACGCAGGTGTCAATGTGACCGCCGTCGAATTGAACGGGGCATTTTTTTTGAGAGATTGGTATCATATGGTAGTTTTATTATCCTACTAAATGACCCTTTGTAGCGAAAGTGATGATCTACTTTAGCCAGCAAATCAACGATCTTCCTGTGTCAGAAGAAACTGTCATCGAGTCAGTGTCACCGTATACCTACCGCGATCCCGCAAATGGTCCTAGAGTGATAATTTTATAGTATTATATTTTTTAGCTGCGCAATTCAGAATGTTGGGGTCCGGATATTAAAAGGAGGATGAGTGAAGCAAACATATACCTGGCACTCCGGTTGTGAGATCTTTACTATCCGTTTCGTTGTTATTGTTGTTGATGGTACTGGATCTGATAGTTTCCCTGGATTCGTTATCGTCGGATGGACACGAACTGGTTGATGGACAAGCAGAGTCGGTAGGAAAGAAGCGTTGCTGATTTTGAGGGCTGCGGGCTAATGAAAATGGCCACGAACCGCTACGATGTGATGTCACTTTTGTTGAAAGCAGTTCTGAATATTGAAGAGTTAGTCTGATTTTTAATATACCTAATTTTCTGTGAACTTTTGAGCAATGGAAGTCTGCCAGAAGAAGAAGATAGGTGATTTTGACTCGAGCGTGTTTGTATACTTGGATAAATGATAAGTTATTGCAAAAAAAATGTTTTTGATGCTAGAGCTTGTCCTAGGACTATTTGGAACCCACAAAAGCAGAAACGAAAGCATTCTTGAAATAAAGACATGACTAACCTTTATCATTAGTGTGTTCCAGCGGTGAAAGGCATTCTGGTCGGTGTACTTCTTCAGCTGTAGCCGGGAAAGGTGATGTCAGTGGATGTTCGTTGCTAAACCATGTAAAATCAAAAACGGAACTATTTAGTATACGCATCATTCGCTTGGGTCTTCAAAAATGCTACTTCTTATGTTCTTTTGAGCAAACCTCCTAGAAACTTAGCATCTTTCAGAATCGTTCTCCGTTAGTTAAAGTTATAAAATAAAATAATAATTAAATTATAAAATAAAATAAATAAATTAATATAAAACTAGTCCCCTACATTTACTGATTGCTCTCTGAAAAACGTAAAGAATTAACTTTTTTTAGAGGCTGTATCACTTATGTTCTATTTTTGACGAGACTTTACTATCTTGCTTTTATTGTTATGTAGCTAATTGACTGTCTGTAACTAATTTATTGTCTCTGTCTATTTACTGTCTATTTAGAGTCTATAATTCTTTGACCAGATATTATTTACTTACCCGTCGGCCTTTGACACATGGTTGAGAAAACGGTCAAGTCGATCAGGATCCGTGTCGCGCAACTTGTTATACATCTTGCATTGTAGCTCCTTGGGAATCTAAATCGAAACAAATTTGGTATATACAGGAAGTCCCGCTAGATATAAGCACTCACCCGAAACACCTCTTCAACATGTGCGATCATCGTTTCTACAATAGCAATTTGTTGTTCATTTTCGACAAGAGAGGCATGCAGCTTTCCGTGGTCGGGTCGAAGGATGGACGGGGCGAATATAGTGGCCAGGTTTCTTGCGTCCATTCTATTGCCTTGCACGACTTGCTGAAAGTGGTATGATAAAAGGACTGAAAGACATCTTGCATTTACAGAATAGACTATCATAGTTATGTTCTATTTTACGGTCGGATTTCATCCGATATTTTTGATGAACCACTGAATTATGCGAAATGAGGATGAAAAGTAATGTTTGTAATAAGTGTTGATTGCATCTTTTCATAATCGTAGTTTCTTGTTCAATATGGCTTTTATTTGATTATGTGGTATTCTTCTGCGAAGATAAGATTGTACTCTTTGCCTCGCAAAAACCTTGGCAAAGAAAAGCAAATAATTTGAAAAGCGAGCAAAAATTGCTGTAGTACTTGCAGGGATCATTAAAATCAAAAAAGTTCTATGATCTAATTAATGTAGCAGATAGCAGACTAGATATAAAATAAATTTACTTTTAGAGCAAACTGTCTGCCTTAAGTTCGAATTACGGAAAGAAGTGGAAAAAAGTGAATAGTTCTGGAATCCCTGTAAATATTTGATTTCCTTCAGAAACATAGGACTTTTTGCTACTTCTTTTGAAACACTTGAGGAACACATACAACTCACCTCTGCTTCAGCTCCAGTCTGGTCGTGACAATGTAGCGATACCTCATGTAGAAACTTCAATAATACATACAGCGTATCGATATTTGGTGGCCCAAGCAAAGAAAAAAGGAGCCGAATCACTTCTACGCGTTCCTCGAAAGAAAATCCTGAGAAGATTTATGCTATTCGGGTAATCGAAATTAGCAAAGGGGAAGAACTCACGAGCAGCAGTTATGTAAGCTTGATAATGTTCCCGAGGCAGCAAGGATTGTGGCAGATCTCGAAAGTACTCCTTCAGAAGTGTCGCGACATCATGTGCTGTGGTGTTTTCAACAAGTTCGTCACTAATGGCCGTACCACCTCCTACCTGGAACATTTCACATCCTTCAAGATCCTACCAGAAAATGACAAAGACGCACCTTTTCCAGGGTACTTTTCAGCTGGCGGCAACGCTTCGCATTTCCAGCCACTCGGAAAAGTCCAACCGTATTGAGACCTGCAATTTTTGGGGAATCTTGGATAGCTGGGCCATATTTCAGGTACTACCGTATTCTTACCGTATGCCATGAGATACTGTGTACAGTTCTCCACTATTCGTGGTACTTGAAGATTGTGCGGATCGGCGTCATCGCTAGAGATTGGTGCATCAAGCGAGTACGAAAACGAAGCGGACGAAGGACGTTGTTTTTTGATAAAACGACCCTAAAAATCGCATACTAAGTTTTGAAAAAAAGAACAAATTTTCGTTTTCTAACCGTAACAATTTCCTTTTCCGGTTCTGCATGTGTGATCAGTGAAAAATCCTTAACAGGCAAGGAACAAGTGGGCGGAGCTGAGCCATATGCCGCTGGTGACGAAGGAGTCGACTCAGGATACAAATTCTGTAAAAAAAACCTTGAAATAATATTTTTTTATTTAGAAAATGATGCAATCCTACCTGGGTCGATGGATACAGCCATTTTCGATCGTTTAAAGTCATAAACTCAGGCTCAGATCGCACAGATTTAGCTTGTTGTTGAGGAGAAGAACTTCTAAAAATCGGTACGAATTACTTGAAGAAGCAAGAAAAAGTATTAAAACTTACCCGGTAGCTCTCGTAGCGCAAGCAGCATCGTCAAGCGAACGACATCTGCTTTCGAGATCTAATCGGCGCTCATTTTGCATACAAGTCACAAGAGAAACTCCAAACAACCGTTTTTCAGCTGAAATGAGATTATGAATTTAATGCGTGCCTCAGAGCAGTACTAAAATTGGTGTCTTAGAAATATTGCAAATTATTAGTATTGCGCTTTTATCAACCATTATTCTATTTCGCAAGGAACTACCACATAAAACTAATATCATTTGGACAAGTGAAAAGAAAACGCAGAACGAAACCTAAATGGTAAGTGAAAGCAACAGCAGCACTGATTTTTCAGGACCCAGACATACTCCAAGCGATTTCATTCTCCGCGCGATTTGGCAATTTGCCAGATTTTAAACCCCTCATTCGTAGGCTACATTTACATAGGGTGTGATTTTCATAGATAGATATAATACTCTAGCTTTAGCTCACGATGAGTTATAAACAATTGACATTTTGATCCTGGATTTTTACTGTATTCGAAAAATAACAAAAAAGAGCTAATTTTTTTTGGAAAAAATAGATCATAGGGCCAACTAACCTGCATCTACGCTATAACCGCTTACTCGACGATTTCCTTCGGCAGCGTTCAATGCCTTGTTTGGCTTCAACAGCTTTTGCCTCTTTTGGCGAATGGCCAGCAGGGGATCTGAAGTTCCAGTATAAAACAATGCTACTAACATTGAAGCAATATTTTTGACTACCTTTCGGCTTGGCCAAGCTTACTCCAGGCAGGAGTACAGCCAATCGCTGTAGAGCAACAAGGCGAAGAGCACTCCGTTCGATCTCACTCAACGCTTCAAGACGAGCTCCTCGAAGGACAACTTCGGCTCCATCCACAGATCTCCATGTGAAGCTGTCCTGGAACAGAATCTAAACATTTTATATTTTCTAAGCAGAATGTTAAACAAAAATCGACACGTATTAGCCAGAAAATCCACTGGAAACTAATTAAAACCCTCTGGACCTGGGTCGGTCATCGAAAACAGATTCCCGTTTAGATATAAGCTTTTGCGATCATACTGACATCATCATCTGGATGTCCATTCTAACTTTGTATCCCTTTCCTAAGGTGATCAGTTAAAAATCTAGAGAGCAGGTTATTACGATCTCTTGTTTCGGAACAAGTGTTGACTGTACGCTTAGGACATCGAAAGTCTTACGGTGAGCTTCTCATTTTTTATTATCAACTGTAATCATTAGAAAAAATCGCAATCAGCTTTCTGTTTTGAGCTTTTGTCTCATTCTAGTTGCTCGAAGAAATTCCGGACAGTGCAGGTTAGGTTAAAAAGAAAGAATCCAGAGCTGCACTTCAATTTGCAGGGTGGGCCACATGAAGAGTGAGGAGCTTGACCAAGAACAACATTTTTTTGTCGTGCTCTTTTACAATGACGTTGATGGTTTCTTCCACATTTTCTAGTCTTGCTATGGCCAGACCTCCAAAAAAGAAAACTATTGTTTGAGAGTTTCTTGGAGAAAAAAAATTTAAGGCCCGTATGCACGTACATCCCCGCTGGGGAGGGGAGGGGATCTGAGAGGGGATGCGTCATATCTCGCTACTTTACGTATCTTTCTTCTTCCTTTTCTATCTTGCTTATAAAGGTTCTCATACCCTACTACCTGCGCATAATCGATGCCAGGTTACTGGCATAACTGATTAGATTTGTATTATTTTGTGTGATCCCCTGGGGATCCCCTGGGGATCCCCAGGGGATCACCTCTCATTTTCAAAGTCATTTATCTTCCTGAGAAATCAATGGAAACGCCGCAAAATTGTACCGAGGATATACTACGGCACTGCTAAGCATGTTTCGACAGAAAAAAATAGAATCTGAAGATTGTGAATTTTTCGATGATCCCTAGCTTTTGAGCCAGGGATTACCGAAGATTTCGATATCCTGAGATTTCACTTATTTTTACTTTAAACATGCTTAGTAGTGCCGTAGTATATCCTCAGTACAATTTTGCGGCGTTTTTATTGATTTCTCAGAGAGATAAATGACTTTGAAAATGAGAAGTGATCCCCTGGGGATCCCCTGGGGATCCCCAGGGGATCACACAAAATAGTACAAATCTAATCAGTTATGCCAGTAACCTGGCATCGATTATGCGCAGGTAGTAGGGTATGAGAACCTTCTTAAGCAAGATAGAAAAGGAAGAAGAAAGATACGTAAAGCAGCGAGATATGACGCATCCCCTCTCAGATCCCCTCCCCTCCCCAGCGGGGATGTACGTGCATACGGGCCTAAGTGTCATGCTTAGCAGCCAAGATCTGAGGAAAGCCAATTTTTTTTATTCAAGTGGTGCAAGAAGGCACAATCTCCTCTTTATAAAACGTGCTAAATAATGCAAATCCGTTTGATGTATTATACCGGAAATGATGGCGAGGAATTCACGGAAAAGATTGAATGCCTCCATCAAAGTTAAAGGCTGACATTTCCAGATGTGCGATCCTTCTGCAAAATGTTTGGCTATAAAAAATTAATTATGCAAATTCAAATTGTTTAGTGTAGGTTTTATGCACATTTTTTGCGACACATTGTATTTGGACCGCCCTATACAATCTCAACAATTACCTTTTTCAAACCTTTTATTTGCACTGTCCAGGATGAAGAGCCTTATTGGTTTCTTATTGACTCCTGTTGTTAGTCCACAGGCATTCAGTAAAGACATAGCCATTCTATTATTTTTCGCATTACGCCCCCATAGACATCAAAAGTACATACAAATAGCATTCTTCAGAACTGGACGACATTCTTCGCCCTTAGCAGGCCTCAGTTCGAAAGTTAAAAGTCTGTTCGCTCCGCTGCCACTCTTTGGTCTCTGGTTTGTGAAAGAGCAAATGCAATGTGAAACCCGACGTCATATTGCGCGCCAATGACTTGTCTAAAGCCATCGACGATGTTTTAATTATGAGCCGCGCATAATGGATAAAGTAATGTGAACAAAACTTCTATGCGTCAACACCAACAGTTCAATTTTTGAGCCGAAAGGATAAGTATCGAGTACTATTTCGGTACTTTCAAACAATATTAGCATGCTTTATGACTCTTAAAAAATACGAGGACTTCGCTTCAAATTGTTTGAAGGGGAAATCAATCTATACTTTGTGTTTCTGCAACGCATAACAAATGTAGCTGCATTTTATTCTACTGCGCAATTTGAAGATTTCATTTAAAACAAAAAAATGTCACGTAAAAAATCGAATTATATTTTATAAAACTTGAAAATTATAGCTGTTTGCAAACACATCTAATAAGATGGAATTTTCAACAATAGACAGAGTTGGCTTTGAGACTTTCAAAATCAGCTTGTTCCTTTCTGATATGCCACCAAAAATTTTTGGTTTAAGCACTACTAAACCAACGACCTTTTGCTTTGAGCACCATTAAAAAAGTGCATTATTTTCCATTTTCAAGCTATGCTGGATCAAATGACTTCGCTACTAAAGTGCGGTTCATAATTATACGAACACCCCAGATTTTGAAGGTTCTCGAACTTTCTGGAAGAAACTCAAGAAGCCGTTGGTACCACGCGATAGAGCACAGCCGAAAACGGTATATGATCCATAAGAATGGAAATCGATGTCAATCTCAGGAGTGTTTTTGCGCCTAACAAGAATTTTGAGCGGTTCATAATTATACGAACACCTCAAACAAAGGTCCATTTTTCATTCAAGATTGCAATCTTTCGAGTCCAAATTTTTTGTAGAGTTACAGTAACAAAGTCTGAAACATCCGCGACACATTGAATCCAGTGCAGTGTAAAAAGAGGATCCTTACTTTTTTCCAGATGGCTCTAAACGCTTTCGGAGTGATTGCGCTCCAAAAACATCCATTCTTCTGTAGTTCACGCACTCTAATTAGCTTCTGCCAAGGTTATGAGATAAAATAAGCTCCTTCGATAGGTACTTTGTTTTTCGCTTGGAGAATCTTTGCGTTTCCGTGCAGTTTTTCAACCAAGTTTCAAACTTACCCTAGAGCTAGCACGATTTCAAACCTTTAAACTCAGCTTCTGAAGCCCTACAATGAAGTAAGCTTATAGTATGTAGAAGCTCACAAGACAATGTATTTGGCTAGAAAAAATCAGCGGCGTTGAGCGTTTGTTTCGGCCACGCAGACATCATTTCACTAAAACCACTGTTTTTACTATTGCAGTTACATCTTTATTTGGTTTGTAGCTCCATAGCCTCAAGATCAGTTCTACAAAAAACCCAAAAACTTTGACATGGATACATCAACATGCAAACAATGCAGCTGCTTCATATCAAGTGTTTGCGCCGGAGAAAAGCTGAGTTTTGAGGCTCGAAATCGTGCCAACTTTAGGGTGAGGTTGGAACTTGGTTGAAAAGCGGCACGAAAAACGCATAGATTTTCCAAGCGTCAAACAAAATACCTATCAAAGTAGCTTATTTTATCTCATAGCCTTGGTGGAAGCTAATTAGAGTGCGTGAACTACAGAAGAACGGATGTTTTTGGAGCGCAATCACTCCAAAAGCATTTAGAGCAATCAAAAGGAAGTAAAGATCCTCTTTTTGAACTGCACTGGGTTTAGTGTGTAGCAGATATGTCAGACTTTGTTACTGTAACTCTACAAAAAATTTGGACTCGAAAGATTGCAATCTTGAATGAAAAATGGACCTTTGTTTGAGGTGTTCGTATAATTATGAACCGCTCAAAATTCGCATTAGGCGCAAAAACACTCCTAAGATTGACATCGATTTCCATTCTTATGGATCATATACCGTTTTCGGCTGTGCTCTATCGTGTGGTACCAACGGCTTTTTGAGTTCCTTCCAAAAAGTCCAAAAACTTTCAAAATTCAAGGTGTTCGTATAATTATGAACCGCACTTTAGGAGAAGAATTTTGGAATAAATTTTAAAAAGAAACTCAAGAATTTTGGTTCTTATGGACCAATCCGATATGAAAGAAAACATATGACTGGAATACTTAAATACAAGTCTCCGATCGGATGAGTTATTTGAATTTCTTCAAAAATTTGCATATCCTAGACACTTGACCTTGCCTAAAACTTCATTGAGTTAGCTTCAGTCTAGCGAAAATAGTTAAAATTCAGGATTTCGATTCAAACACACTTTGAACGCATGCAGTTGCTTCTGTTGCGCCAACTATATAGAATTAGGTAGAATTTTGTTCAAGCGGGAATAAGACACTCCTCTCTAATTTCAATCTCATAATCATTTGATAATTTTTTTTACGGGCGATAAGCTGTAACCCATCTATCTTGAGTATTGCATGGTTATCTCGCTAGTAATGGGATATCGTGAAGCTTAATGTGTTAATGATATATGACAGAATTAAGAGGGTATTTTATGGCTATAGAAGTTGATGACTATGGGGGCAGATGATGGGATTAGATATTTTGCAGGAGATAGATCAGCGGAGGTTTTTCTGAGATTTGAGTGAAACCAGAAGCTAAATGAGTGTAATTTTAATGCTGATTCCTAGAACACAGATTTGCAGCCTGAGAGTATTCTAAAAAAACCCATAAACATTATGTGTCGCAGAAAATTTGACGTAAATTTTCTTTGCCTAGTATTTTATTATTTTGTTCGCATTGTGATTTGTACTACTTAGCATGAACTATATTTATCAACTGAATTTTGCAAGAAATCGCATGATTATTTCATCTGATTTTATTTGTTTGTGCCGGGAAGAGTTGGTAAACGTAATTTTTTTTTACAAAGAAGGCTACTATCCTGACACAAAGAACAGCTATCTCCAAGAAATCAAGCTGATGTATTTTGCGGCCAAAATTTTGTAAGAATATAGGTAGATTATGCATATCCTTTCGAGATTCTGTTCAGATTCTCACGGAGACGATAACTAATTATAAGGTTGATGATTCTCACAAAGTCGCAAATGGACAAGTTGATTATGAAATGGCATTTTCCCTAGGACTGAGGAAAAAGCTTACCAGGGACTTCCAGGCTGAATCCGTCGATGACGAAGTGCTCGATGCATGGCTGAAATTGATGTAACGAGGTTTCAGTTTCCACAGCAACTTCTGCGACGAGTACTTCCATCCGTCCGAATGACTGCAAAGCGCTCTTTTTACTGCGGGTAATTCAGACATTTTGGGTTGAGTAAAAGTTTACCTGCTAGCGCTTAGCGGCACCGAAGGCGATACCGGTGCGGTCATCGCCTGCGGCAAAGCGTCATCGAGAAGATCGTGCGAATCGTCGAAGCCCGATGATTCGCGTGAGTCACGAAGTCGTCCCTGGAATTTAGTGATTTAGAAGTTGCAAAGCGGCAATCATATCAGGTGTAATTTAGTCGTATTTGGAAATAGCTAAAAGCGAGAAAAAATGTTTCAAATTTGCTTATCCGAATACACAAAATATTTCATTCCTTTTTCTTTTTTCCGCTTGTATGGTTAGCTTTTTGCGCTTGCATGAAGCTCAAAACCGTCCCATGGTTAACCGAATTATCCAGAGCGTTTGAATACATTCTAGAGAGACCAATTGCGCATCAGCCTACAGAGATGGCAATATTTTAGGATGTGCCCGTTCACATGACTTAACACTCATACCGTTCGAGTACCGTACACCAACAGTGTGCCGATCACAAGAGACAAGTCTAATAAGAACCCTTTATAGTTTCCAATGTTTACAATAATCACTGAAATTACATTTGAGTAGAACTTATTGCTAAATGGTAGAAAAAAAAACAAGAAAATTGACATCAATGCGATAAAAAAGCATTCTTTTCGAATAATCTTGAATACTCAGCAGACTCTACAAGTCTCTTTTTTGAATGTATCTAATTCTCTTTACAAACGAGATAAAACATAGGTCTCAGCAGATGCCTAGCGACTAATGAACAGAAGAATTTATTGCGCCATTTTGCTAGTAGAATACATTGAAAGCAAAGTTTGTACCGATTGAACTCAAAAACCACAAATGGCAAGGATTAGCTGATAGTAAAGGTAATCTTCCTATGATTCAAGAGCGCAAATTAACTGACAAAGCTGAACACCTAATAATGGCAAGAATTGCTATAAGAAGATTGCACTCGTTGAGATGCATGTAAAAATTGACATTTTATGGGTGAAGAGAATGATTAGGTGAAAATGTGAATTTGAGAATAAAGAGCATTGACAATGTTTTGCTTTGATAAGTCGTAAAAGAAGGGAATTCAAGTTTGCTCCAAAAACGAACAACAGTTTTTGTAAAGCAAGATTTTCTCTTTTCAATGGTATAGGTACTTTGCCCTAAACCGACCGCTTCATCGAAAAACGGCGACAAAAATAAAAAGTCGACGGACTTATGAAACGACCTAATATAAGCTGCGAAAAGCTTCAATGATTTTGTTAGGGGTTAGATACTTAAGCTTAGATTCTTACAAGTGATGATGCGAATCTAAAATAACCAAAAAATGGATCAGAAAAGTAGGAAAAAGACATACAGAAATATCGCGTCCGTGGGTGATTTATTCAAGACTGAGAGTTAGTTTGAAAAAAAAATTCACATTCTGTATCATGCATTAGTTAGGTAAGGCCTCGCGGACATGCCCCACAAATCACGCATCTCCCTCCACATGTCGCAACTTGTACCAGTTGCCGGCGCGAATGAAGCTTATCAACATGTCTTCAGTGCCATAACCTTCAGGGATAGTTCATACCTCGCGCGATTTGGGTTGCAAAGTTATTGATAATACTCCTTAAGCGCACTCTGTGTAGGCAAGATCTGGCATACACGCATAATTTTACAAAAGCTATATGCCCTAAGCACTTGAGTTACGCGGGCGGTGGATTGGCAGACTTTTGGAAAATTGCCAAATCGCATGGCGACAGCGATTGGGAGGAATCGTTCGTGTTGTAGCGTAGGCCCGTAGGCCGTGGACTTCCCTGCACAGATCTCTTAAAAAAAAATCAATGGTGCAGATCCATCGGCTTTTGTAACTTATTTGAAACAGCCTATTCTACTTGAGAGCGGGATTACTACAGTTACACAATAGTATTGTGATAACCAAAAAATTTTTCTAATTTTAAAATTTTGTTGGTAATAGCGGGAATCACACTTTTGAAAGAACATGACGTTTGCTGCCGTTAGGGACAAGAAATGGAGCTGAGTTTGGATGAGAATGATTCAAAATAAAAAGAAGGATTTTTTAGAAACAGAAAGAGCTCAATAGAAACAATTGCCATAGCATACTTGATAATGAGCAAATTCATTCAAGGAAAAGAATCTGTAAAAAGTTCTCATTTTAGCTATAAAATGTTTCTGGAGATGATGCTTGCTTATGAGCGTTTCAGATGCCACATTCACAGTGATAAAATAAATAAATGAACCCTAAGCAATAGTTCGCGGCCCATGCACTCGAGTTCGGTGTTTATAACTATTACCAACATCAGCCGATTAAACAGAGGCTACGGAAGCTTAAAAGGTGAGCGCTGCATTTTCACTGCGATGAATTTTCTGGAAGCAGTAGTAGAGCTCTGCTAGATTACCTGCCCAAAAGGGATTACCGTATGCACCCGAGAGTGCATCCTTAGCAACAATCAATGAAAGAGAAAAATGCGCTTGGATGAGCCTGGAGAGCGCATTCATCGAGATGAAAAAGTAGCGAAAAGCGTCGGAAATCCATTGGCCCTTACTTTGATAAATAGCTTGGCGGAAATCGCCATCAGCTGGTAGACGGAGGATCTCCTGGATGTCAATCCAACATATCAACGACGTGGACGGGGCTGGCTAGGACGGGGCTGACGGGGTTGTTTGGGCGAAGCGGAGCCGAGCCGAGTCCGAATCACTTCACCTGCTCGGCGCTGCCGCTGGCAGTAATCGAGTATTCGCGCTATTCGTTTTATGTAATGACGGGAACAATGCATTCGCACTCAGCGACACCACACCTACTGTTCCCGATGAGCCCAGACGGGGATTAGAAGCTGCAGGCAAATCCCCGGGTGCAGAAACTTCCATATGAGTGTCTGAGCCGGAAAGTGGCAACGGCAGGAGATTACAAAAAATTTTAAGCGAAGGGAACACTTCTCACACAGTGCAAAGATAATGTAAAATCTTTCTGGTCAGTGTACTTCAGGATAGGTTTTCTGTCGGAATCACACCAATCGTTGGAAGGACAGACTTTTGGCGCGGCTAAAAAATTTTGGGAGGGAGGGATGGAGGGAAGCGCACGACTCCTTTTTGTGGGATTCAGAATTGGAAGTCTGCGAAAATTAGCCATACAAGCATCTCACTCTTGCCTCCCCCCCCCCCCCTACCCCTCCGCTTGCAAATAAATTATTCAAATTCAACAAAAGTCACGGAGCTAACCAACAATTGAATTATAATAATTTGATTATTTATTTTGAAGTGCATTCCTTGCATTGTGACCCAAGTAAAACACTTTCAAAGTTGTTTAGAGTTCTGCTATCCCTCCCTCTTTTAGTTTGGTCAAGATATTTGCATGAGATGGTGTTTACGGAAGGTTTTGCATTTTGAGGACGATTAAAAGAAAAAATTTGATTCCAATTTTCAATCCAAATCACGGTGTCACAGACGAAATGAGAAGGATGTAGCGCATGGACAGACAAACGGGGCAAAGAAGCATGCTTTGCAATCCGGTGAGTACAAACTTCAGCGGATAGGAAAGCGACAGGAACAGGAGAGAGTTGCTTTTGAGATTTATAAGCCATCCATGGCATAAAAATTGGGAGGGAAATGAATTGTCAAAACTGTAAATTTTCGAAGCAAAAGTCGTGAACAGTTCTTTGGATAGTTTGGCCTATTTTATCCAGCCTACATTTTCCCATCATCGTTGTCCATCCTTGAAGCAGCAATCAAGCGTCATTTTCCATATATTCCCAATCTATGCTGACGCTCATATCTAAGCTACAATCTCTCCATTATTTCGGCTCATTAAGTGTCAGCCAGGAGAAAATGTTGGCTACATATGGCTATTAGGAAATTCTGCTCAGTGATGTGGTAGGCGTAGTTTTTACCGAGGTAAGAGGCGGTTCTTTTGAAAAGCCATTAATGTTCTTAGCCAACGACCCATTAATGGAGGGTGGAGATTAGCACAAAGTTCGGTTACTGTAATTCAAATGGTAACTAGAGTTTTTCGTTATGAAAGAATGCCACTGCGAAATAGAAATAAAGAATGATTAAAAATATGATAATATGTAATAAAAAATCAGCAGAATAAATCAGAAAAAAACTGAGAAAACTCAAAAAAACTTTTTTAGCGTGAAACATTATCAACTCCTACACAACAGAATCACTGAAAAATTTAGCACGATTCCCATTCAAATCGAACAAGGTCAGATTTTGAACAGTATTCTTTTACAATGTATTTTTTTACCTCTAGGAGATTCAATAAAAATTCTTAGCTTTCCAAAAGCTTCCTAAAAATGAAGCAAAACACTCCTTCTCTATATTACTTTTTCTCCGAACATGCTCTCCTTTTCGGAATTACTCTGACTTCCTTGTATGCAACGATAAATCACTATGAAAGTGAAATTTATCCTTTGGGAACATTCCCATGCAAGAAAACTAAGACGATGCTGGCGGATGGGAACAACCTAATTTGCTTCTGCATACATACCCTCCGAAGAAAATCTCTAGGCTGGCTTGATGAGATACATATGGCTTGTACAAGGGGTAATAAATGGAAAGCCAATAACCCCCTTATGACATATAGCCTAACAAGCCGTCTGATTGACAGGCGCAGAGGGCGAAATGGAACGAGCAGATTGACTAAGAACAATGAGAATAACAGCTACGGATGTCAGACCGGAAATGAAACGTTTATACTAATTTTGCGAGATTTGGATATGAGGGGGAAGGGGAGCAGAAGGAAGGATGTAACAGAACTCTAGGAAATGAAAATCGTTCAATGCACGAGCACTCATTTTTTCATGCTCCTCTGGTCCAACAAGGTCGTAATAATCCTTGTTTTTCCTCGAAGCTTTTTGAAGTTCTTCTTGTTAAAAAAATGCGTTTAGCCACTTTTGCGTGGGAAAAAGGTTTCTTGACTTTTTTACCAATTCTTTTGCAAATGTAGCTAAATTCACGAAGCTGAAGACGCAGTAATTGTTCGAAAGTTCAATGGTGATTCAACCGTATCCTTTGAACAGAGTTGAATTCTTTGAAACGAACTGGGTATGCATATTAGATTTCAACAGCAAAAAACCAACCATAAACCATAACCTAGATGGATCAAACTGACTTGCTATATTCTTTTTTGGATGGAAAAAAATCATACAATTGGGCGTCCAATATG